TGATAGAATGTATGGGGAAAAAAAAAAGGAAGAGAAAAAGAAAGAGACATTTCTCCCACAGCGCTCCACAAAAGTTTTCATGTTCTCAGCTTCTGAAAAGTCTTAAGATTATAAACTTGCTGGCAAGCTCCTGAGGAATTTCAAGGCATCTGTGCCTGTGCTACTTATTTTAAGCTCCGTCTTCCAATGTTATGAAATCAGCGAACCCTCCTGATTTTCTTAGTTACTCCATTTTATGTGGTTCTGGCTTTCAGGGAGATTCAAGAATGACATAATCTTCTTTTCCCACCCACAGATTTTGGACTGTTGCCGTTGGTTACACCCTTCCGAGTAATGCGCAGCAGGAATATTTGTCTGGTCCCATATGCCCTTAAATGGAAGGCAGCCCAGCAGAAATGACTAAAACCTACTTCCTTGGCTCTCAGTTGATCCCTACCATAGGTAGATCAAGGCTTCTTCCTTTTCTTTCTGTCTGTCAGTATTACTTAGGCTTCTGTGCAGGAATGTCAGTCCAAGTTCATGCTGTTTTATAAGGAAATGGACTGATTTCTCAGTATATATATATATCCTACTGAGAGGAGAGCCCATGTCTTGAATGTAGTAGCAGTGAATAAACAAACTACACAAAGTGCTTCTTCTGTATTTTTTACTGAAGCATTTACCCAAGTACACTCAAAAAGTACAGAATTCTTCGTTTTTGAAAGAAGAAAAGAAAATGAGAGAACTGGGCTTGTGTGTACTCATACACACTCTACCAATCATTCCTTGTACCAAACTCAAGTACAAAGATATATAACAGTATAAACGTCAGGAAGAAAAGACTCTTCCTGGAGTTTTGATCAACGTTATTGGATTAGGAGCATTTTGCAATCCCACTGCCAGCCTCCTCGAGCCTCTCCTGACTGTCTGAAGACAAGAGTGTTGGCAGGACTTGGAAATGGGGCATTTTTATGCAATATAGACAGCAATGCTCCCAGCTACACATAAAATAATACTAAGACATGATTATAAGGTGAGAACATGATGCAGCATACAGCACACCTCCTGGAGTGTGCTCATACTCAGAATTTCAGAGAAAGAAGTATTCCTTGGCCCTTGGAAAGGGACAGCTTATCCTGTTGTGCATATTCACTCTGAGTTTATCAGTCCCTGCAGGAGTTCTGAGAAGACTTGATACAGACTTCCTTTGAAGCCTAGACATCATTCTGTCCTGCAGATTACCTCTTCTCCAGGCTGAAAAAACCCAGTTCTCTCAACCTCTCCTCACAGGAGAGATGCTCCACATCTCTGCGTGTGTTGTCTTAGAACCAGAAGAGGAAAAACTAGGAAAGTTCCAGTCAGGGTTCTTTCATGATCGACTGCAGTGCTGTACGTTTCCTTGGCCCTCTTTGAAGTTCAGTGCAGCTGAGAGTCACATCCTTCATTCTTACCAGTGTGTGATAATCCAATAGAAAAGCATCTAGCAGGAAGAAAACTGATATAGGCTAGAAAAAAGGACAGATTGATTGTAACAGTCATCAGAGTGAAATTTGTGATAAATGCAACAGGAGTACCATGTGAAATGGATCCAGAGGACTATTTCTCTCTCTAGGCTCAGTGAAAATGCAAGCTACACTAATACTTTTGTTTCTGCAATAGAAATTATCTGGCTAATATAACATTTTAAGAACGGGATAATATGAAAACCCTATAAAATTCTACTTTGGTGTCATTAAAAAGTCCAAGGCACTTAAAAACATGTCCTCTAAAAGCAATTGGTAAGTTCTAGGAAATTTTTGAATGTATCTGCCCTTTACTGACAGAATAAAATAAAAGATTATTTAGATGGCCAAGCTCTTCAAATTTTATTAAGAGTCTTTAACTCTGCCTCCAATTAGATCTATTTCTTCAATTGGTAATAGATGTTATGATAATAAGGAAGAAAATCTGTTTTAGCTGCAGTGGAATCGCAGTTATTTAAGATAACTTCACCCATCCATATTTACATTTCAGTTTCTAATAATGAAAAATGTTACACAAGCATTTCCAAAAATATCTTTAAATGCTCTGCATCCTATATTAGTGGTGGTGTTTTCTTTTTCACTATACATGAAGAATAGATGAAAGCATTTAACTTCTGCTATTATCTCATGGTAAAAAAAGGATAGATGTTTATTTAAAAAAAAAAAAGTAAGAACCTTTCTAAACAGATAGGTAGAAGATATATTTTGGGATAGACTATAGCAGTTGATATTTTGCTCCTTGAACAGAATATTTTCTGGAATAGATCCAGGCTGAGAATCTAAAGTGCTTGTCCAAGCTTCTCAAACAACCTTACTTATGGGAATATTTGGGCCAAGTCATCAGCTGGAATCAAAATCGTCAGTCTCAATTTAAAACCAGAGCTTGGGTTGCTGGCAAGAGCTAAACAAGCAGCAGAAAGATTTTCAGTTCTGATTTTAACAACGTTTGCGTCACTATTAGATCTGCCTTTTGATAACATTCTAATAAACTGTGTCAAGAATGTTGCAAAAACAAACATTATACTTAATTTAGCAGCATATTTACACGAAGCCAGAGCTAAATTTCTAAAAATGAAATGGTGGTGCTAAAGGATGAGTCTGTGAGTAACACTCAGTTAATCAATAAGCAGAAATATCAGATGACCCAGTCAGAAAACAAACCAACCTGCACTGGAAATGATACATTGTAAAAAATGACTCATGACAAAGTGTGTTCCACATCAGACAGGTGAAAACTGTATTTGTCAAATTAATTATTATTGTTAAAGCCATGTTTCCCTCTCTCTGATTCTAAATTTTCCTCGTGTCCAATGGAAATATAGCTTAAAAGAGAGAAGTTCAGTCCTCAGATTTCAGAAGACCAAAATAAAACAAAATAATCATTTGGAAATGTTGGAATTGTAGTGTTCTTAATCAAACAGATGAATTCCTGTATGTTACAGCATGCAGATGTGATGGCAATTTTCACTGATGTACGAAGTGACTAAAATCTCTTCCCATTTAAATCTGCAGTAAAACATTACTGACTTGAATGAGGGAATCCAGACTAATGTGCTGAAAATCTTGTTGCTGATTTTCAAATGGTTTAGTAGGAGTGCTCGTGGTGCATACTTATTTCTGTATCGTTTGTTGTATTATTTGACATTTTTTTTATTTCACTGACGACCTAGAAGTGCATTGCGTTGAGCTGCAGCTGATGTTTAAGTGATGCTTTTAAGCCACGTAAGGCTTCTTATTCAAAAATACATTTGGAAGTCTGGAAAAATAAAAGTTAAATAAATCTATGAAATAAATGAATTTTACTCTCGATTTTTGCCCCACACGAGTTATTTTAAGGACTGTCTCTCAGAAGCTCATTCATTCATGGGCAGTATTTTGGCTCCGTGTGCATTTATGTAAGTAAGAAGAATTTTGGACCTCCTTTCTATGACATCAATAAGCTTTTCAATTCCTTTTCTGCCTCCTTGGCTCTCCCAGTATACTTTGTCAAGGAACAAAGACTGAAGCAACTTCTCCCGTAAACGCTGGCTCCTCAGCACTGAAACTGCAGACTCAGGGAATCTGGAGGAGCACAAAGAAAATCATCAGTTTTGCCGTCGCTTTGAATTGCAATATTCACGTTGTGGTTTAGCAATCAGTTCTACGAATACAGACCGTGACTCAGCAAATGAAGTCCACACATGCCTAATCATGCATGAGTTAACTGTATCTTTTACACAAGTAAGATTACTCACACATTTTTAGACACATCCTGTAAGTCGTTACACACTTCTTGGGCTGCTGCTATTATTCCAGTAACTTAGCGTCCCTTGCTTTTTGATTATGATATGGCAACTCATTTGACAAAATTATTAACTTAAAGCTTACTCATTGATTCCTTGCAGTATTTTGAAGTCGAGATTGTCCTCACTTCTGTCAAAGAAACCTTTATTGGCTATGAAGGCCAAGTGCCTTTGATCGTGCCTTCTCTGCACTATGTGCGTCAAGTCAACGGCATCCTGATCACTGCATCTCAGAGCCAGTCCTTGCTGCACACAGGAATCCTCCTTCAGAGGTTTGAATCCACAGCAGTGTCTGTCTAGCCGGTTATAGATCTAAAACCAAGCACAGCAGAGCGCTGAGTGAGAACAGCATCAAAGTATTTGGGGCATGGTGCCACTGTCAGACATTGCTCACTAGCACAGCTGGCAAGAGAACAAGCCCAGAAGAAGCATAATTAAAGGCAGCAGTGAAATGGCATTAACGACCTGGTCCACAGATTTCTCATACTGTTAAAAGCAATTTGCTAGACTGTGTATTGTATCCGTTTTATAGCCATGATTTGTTATGTCAGTAGAAATTCTTTGAAAATAATGGAACAATGCCACTTTGTAACTAGAATAACAATTGGGGAGTTTTTACCAAAGGCTGTAGGGTTTTTTTTACATGTCGTCTGTGGGAGCACAATAGAAATAGCATAGCCTGACAGACACAAAAGGCCTCAATTTTCTATCAGACATGCAAATTTTTTGCTCTTTTTAAAGATGGGTAAGGGGCAGAAGGCACCAAATGCAGGAATGAAGAGGAGATTTGTAACCACAGAGAAGCCTCTGCAAGCTGCCCTGTGATGCATACTTTAATGACATCAAGGTCTGGACTGTTGTTTCCCATGGGAACACTCACTCAGTCATCACACAGCACTTAGCTGGAGGAATACATCTGGTCTAACTATAGCAGTGTAAATGCTAAGCATCTCTCCTGAGCTAGTCATTTCTGGTCCTCACGTAAACAATGACAAGAACTAAGCACTCCCTGAGCAAAGGATGCCATTTTAGGCTAACTGTTGAGCATGGAAAGATACATCACGCTTCACAGGTACTCCTATTTCCTGCTGATTAGATAACAGTATTGCCTGAACCCTGAGTGCATGACTGGCCTTAATTGCCTTAAACAGTCTCACCTGGAACCTTCACACATTGCCCATGGGCCCAGGAGCCCTATTTAAGCTCAGGCTCAGCACTTCAGTCCTCTTTTTGGCCTTGCTGGAGGTGCACGTGCTTCTTGTCCTGTTACTTGGTGTTACTGGGTAGCTGCATAGGGGTTCTGGCTTGATGACCCTGTGCCGTGTGCTAAACACTGCCAGGCCTGCTTTGTGGTTGCCCTCAACTCCAGCCTTGGTTTCTCCTGGGGACTAATCCTATTCTTACTCATAGGTGTTTTGGGAGCAGGAGTGAGGTAAGATGCATTTAGACTTCATGAATAAACTAACTGATAGTAATTCTTTTTTTCTGCCCTTCTTGTTCACTATATAGTGTTAACCTTTAAAACTGCTCTAGGCGTGAAAATAATACTGCTCATGTAAGCACAAAGCCTTCTAAAATTAGTCTTATTTTTTGGCACCTCAGTGAAATGAAGTACTGTGACTTCTGATGGAGAACTGGTAAATGTTTGAAAGGTCTCCTGTTATTGTTCATCAAATGAAAGCCTGAGAGCTCTTTTTTCGTCTGAAGCGTGTAGCACTGCTGCCACTGGTCTTGGTGGGAGTGTTTATTGTCAACTGAGAAAATCCTGGGAGAAGAACTAGATTTCTTCCTCTCTTTTCTGCTGCGCAGCAATGAGCAGGAACAAAAGACTCTGTTGCTTGCAGCATCCTACCTCATTTCCCATATAATTCGTTGTCCAAAAGTGAAGGAGCAGCTTCAAGACTCCTCTTGTACGTAACCCTATTTCATCCTCACCACATTTCATTGCGTGTGTTAAATAGACAAGTAGATTGTGTTCTTACAGATAGCCTTCTGCATGCACTGCAACATTACAGCGTTAGAACAGAGCAAGGTGATAATCTGGAACTGATATTGGAACCTTAACAGCTTGCTACTGATTTTTGATATATATTTATGTATGCACAAGAAAATTGAAGAAGTCATTTTTATTTTTTGTGTCCTTACTCCACCTGAGTTCTTGAAAAAGGCAAGCAAAGGCCAAAAACAAGCATTTGTCAGCCTGCTCCTATGGTTTACAGTATTTGAATCCAGAGATTAGGAACCTCTTTAAGAGCACCAAAGGCATTTCTTTGATAGAATTATGTTTAACCTTTCACTGTAGTACTAAATGATTTATGAAGCGCTTTTTTACAGCAGTGTTCTGTAGTTTAGCAGACTAGGCTTTAAACTATTAAGGCTTTTTTTTTCTTGAACCAATTTAAGATTATTACATCTGAGGGCCTCTTTAACTATCTTGAACAGTCTCAGACCATCATGGTGCTTATGCTCCTCAAGTTCTGAGATGTTAGACTATCTCCATAGCACAGCCCCTGTAAGCACATTACACAGGTACCTTAGTTCTTCAAATTCCCTTTCTATTTTCTGAATTATTCATTCTTATTCAATCTTATATGCACAGAGGATAAAAATCCCATCTTAGAATAGAATGGTTTTTTTAACTGCCCTCTCCTTCTAGAAAACAGGAATTCCCTTAAGAAGTTTAAAACCTTGTCCTAGAAGATCTTAAAATTAAAAAACAGCACAGAACTGCTAAGAATTTTTAAACTGTTCAACAAGAAAACATTGGCATGAGAAAATTAACTGATGTATTCTGCTTTATTTCTGTTTGGGGTATATTGTGTTATGTTTAGAACCAAAATAATCCACGTGTGACTTTATGCTACTTTCTAAGAGTTTCTTGCTCATAGTAGAACTAAAGATGGAGTCTTTAAACAACCAACAGTATATTTTCAGAGGAAAATTTCATGCTCTGTTTAACAAGACTGCAAAAATGCAAGCATAGGAAGCATTTGTTAATCCTATAACAGACTTGAGAAGGGCAGAGATAGGCTATTCATAAGGCAGAATGACTGTTATATTTCAAGAAATGAAATTCTATTAAAAAGTTGAATGATATGAGCGCTCAATCGCAGTGTATAAAACTAGTGCTAAGTTCAATTTTAAATACCAATAGCTTTATAGACGTCAGTAATTGCTGCAGGAGGCAGGCAGAGACAATTGGAAGCAATGCTAAGCGAGGTATAAAATCAGCTGCCAGCCATATATAGTTAGTTCAGCTCAGTCCTTATTAATAGAGAGAGTGTATTAATGTCTTGCTGCGTAACTGTATTCACATCATGATACCACAGGACAAAGCCCTAGTGTGGTGCTGCTTGGAAAGCAAATGCTGATGTGCAATACCTAACTGAAAAACAGCAGCTATGGTCATTAAGTCTAAACATTAAATCAATGGTAAATTTGTAAAAAGTCAGGAAATTTACTTCTACAGCTCTTGTCTTGACCCCAATTTCACCTGACCAAAGCTAAGCAGCTGAACCCTTTCTTATCATAAGTGCTTTACAGCTGTGAACACTATCAAGAACCATGTGCAGAGAAACACTGCCTGCCTCAGAGGTGAAGTAATACAAAACATCTCTAAGTGGGTCAGCCTGGTTTCTGATCTTTCCTTGACTACGAGTCATTTTGAACATTTTAATCAAATGTAACCAGGAGCAAGTTCAGATTGTGCATTTAAAAAAAAAAAAAGAAGAATTTTCTAAGATCCCACGTGTGTTTCTGTGATTTTTGAGGCAGATATGTGTTCATTAAATGTCGTACCTGCAGAAGAAAATCGAAGACTGCCATCTTGGACCACTCATGGTGATGGATTTCAGTGCAGCCCCACTCATCTTTGGGAACTTTACCATTCTGCCAGCATTTCCGCTTCAGTAGTTGCTGATATTTTCCCCAGGTTAGTCTCACTGAAGAGTGAGTATTGTTATCGGTCGGACTCAGGGAAGAATCCCAGAGAATAACAGGGCAGGCTTGACCAGCTGAAAAAGGAGAAATAGGTTGTAGTTATACTGGGATGCTGTCAGACTGACTTTAGACATTGCCTAAGCATCCACGATCACAGATGTGGCAGAAAAAATGTTGCCACAGGCTGATGACTGAACATCCTTTGGTTTATGTGGTCTTAATCCGCATCTAAAACCAGACACCAAAAGAATGGAAGAAGCACAGACAGATGCCTTCAGTGTACAGAAAGCTGTTTTTTCCACTTGGAGGAGATTAACATAGTAAGTCATACACTAAACCAAAGTATTACAAAGTGCACAGGTAGATTAATACCCTAATGCTGCTGTGAACCAACGGTGACGTTTCTGCAGTGAACTGATGATGATTTACAAGAGCTTGAAAACTTCTCTCAAAGTGCATTTTCCCATATAATGGGCATAAAAAGATTATAAATCCTATACTCAAAGTGGATTTATTCTGTTATTTTTAGTATTGTGGGCTTATAATGTGTGATTTCACAGTCCTGAAGTGATGTATGAGAATACTGTAGTGTTAGCTTAGCATGAATAAACACCTTGACAATTTTATTATATTTTTTTCAGAGACTGATAGAACATGAGAGCTGCTTTGTATAGCAACTATTTTGACTTTTTTTTCCCCTCTATATTGAGAGCGTTCCACTTTCCTTTGAAATCACTAAGTCGAGTGTATTAGCACTGCTGAATCCAAGTTTTATAGTATTTAGTGGGAACATACCACTGAAAAAGTTTAAAATAAGCTAAGAGATTTTTCGCCCCGTATCTAATAACAGGCATGTGTGTCCTCTAAGGAAAATTGGACAGTTTCACTGCCAATGCAATGCTCCTGTTGCTGCCTTAAGCAGTCAAGGACCAAGAACTGACTGTGGTTTATTAAAACTTGAAAATAAAATCTTGTTTTGCAGGAAGACCGAAATATGATGCCTTGTTACAGAGAATGGGAATCACTTGATTGCAAGCCAGTTATTTACTAGCAGGTGTTGAGATGTGTGCAAAGCTCTAGAATTCATTTATATCCAACTTGAAGGTCTTAAACCTACATGCCAAACGTGCAATTCATGCAGTCTAAACTATCTGTCCTCTGTATGTACTTGGACATAAAGATGTATCTGAAAAGAAGCTCTCCTTTCCTCATGCAGGCAACGTGCTCCATGGCACCTTCTTCAGAGGCAACCTGGATTGATGTCAGAACAGCGAGGTAGAAGGTGCCAATGTGAATCCTCCATCTGTAAGCAGTGAGGATGGTTGATGGATCTCCACACAGCACCTTCTTCTGACTGATCACAGTAAGTAAGAAATTTTCTTTGTCAATAATTAGCAGTGAATTATATGTGAAGATCCACCACTGTACTGCCAACAAAACAGAAGTGCACCAAAAGTAATGACTCCTATTTTACTGTGTTGGTCCATGATGCCAGAGGAGGATGTTGGTGGTACAGCAGTAGAACCTTCCCGCCAATATTTCTTTATATTCTGTTGCCATGTGACAGATGGCAGCAGAGGGGCAGTCTAACAAAATGGCATCTGATGTGGAAGTGCATATATAGCACAGGTGTGCCACTGAATTCCTCCGTGTGGGAAAAACAGCATCCACTGACATTTATCAGTGCTTGCTGAACACTCAGGAGATTAACAGTGGATGTGAGCATGGTGAGGGCTGGATGGTGTGCTTCAGCAATGGTGACTGTGGGTCACCTCTGCTGGTAAGATTTTGTTGAGTGCAACATGCAGGCTCCTGTTCATCGCCATTGAAAACACACAGCTAGTGATGGTGACTGTTGAAAAAGAGAGTTTTGTAGCTGAGAATTTGTTCTATCAAGTAATGGTATTGTGCTCTTTGTATCTGTTGTAGTGTCCATGGAAATAAATAGGAGGCATTACTTTTGGAATGATTTAGGATGTTAGACTCCATGCACAATCATGTCGCAGTGTCTGCTCCAGTAAGAGAGACTAAGTAGAGAAAAATAAACTCTTTTCCACCACCAGAATGTACTTGATCTTCTCTATGCCATAACATATGCATACGAGGTAGTCCTCAAATCAAGGCAAACTGTGGCTCTTTAACTCCCCTCCTTGATTAGATCCTTGATTTGTCCTTTTTGAACCCCAAAAGTGCCCTTTTACTACGATCAGCATCACGCATCAGCATGTTTCCTTTGATGGGAGAGGAACAGTGCCGAGCACTCCCGTAAAATCAAGCTCCTTTTCTACTGAGATGCCTGAATGAGTGTTTAGGAGTTTAATTTCCTAATTCCTAGCCATTTCCCAATCTCCCTCACTCTGTCTCCATCACTGTAGATACTTAAGTCAGGTCAGCCATCAGCTAAGCCTCTTTTCCAAGGCTGCTGGAGAAGGTCTATAAAAACATTGAAAAATGGCACACATGCAAAAAAATATATAGTCAAAAAACCAGCTTCCTTCAGGATCAAATCTGATCTGTTTTTGGACCTTTGTCAGCAGCTTAAATAAGCAACTTGCAACTTTTTCAACAAATCAAATATGTAAACCGCCTTCTAACAAAACAAACATCTCCTTTCTACTCAAAGGGGGCATGATAAACAATGGTAATATTAATAATAGTATTATTATTGTATATATTATATAATATAAAATTATATATACAATATTAACAATAGTAATATACATAATAGTGATATACTTGAATAATATCTTAGTTTCCAATATGATTAAAAAAAAAATTAGAGAGCAAGGTTAAATACAGGAAATGTTTGCATTCCAGAGGAAATGAGAGTAGAAAAGATGAGCCAAAATAAAATGTTTCAACTCTGTAATCTAAATTGAATTATGGGAATACAAAACAGCAGCTTCGGTAAAGAGCAGCAACTTAAATTTTTGACACTAGCAGGAAAACACAAATTTGCTGAATTAAAGCAGATAAGGGGATGATTCACAGCTGTATGACTTGGCATGAACCCATAGAGATCTGCAGTTCTTCTGATTCAAACCTCCTGAGGATGGGGCTAGAGTTAACAGAGCAGTGGAAAACAAGGCCCAACCAAGAGCACCCAGTCTGATACAGCCAGACCTGAGGAGGTCCAGCACACCAGAATAAGTCCATTTGTCCTGGGTGGGCCTGTTCCCTAATCAGTTTTATATAGTAACACAAAGGGTTGCTGTTTTTCTGTTGCTGCAGCTGCACTGTGGCTCTAATTACCAAGAATGCCATGGTTGCCTGTTACTGAAGGACCTAAGGACTGAAAAAACTCCTGAGAAATTCACAGTGAGAGAAGGAAATACTAAGAGGGAGACAGGGAAACTTACTCGAAGCAGATTAACTTCATTTTCTTTTCACCTGCTGCTTTAGATCCATTTAACTAGTTGGCTACCTGAAGATGAAATGAGCTGGAAAACTGCATGAAGTAGGCTTTCAGAATTTGTACTGGAATCTGCTTCCCAATAATCTGTGTGGATTTTTCCAGCATCAAAATATTTCTACAAATTGATTTGGTCCTTAGAAGGCTCAGCTGTGGGGAATCCAAAGCTGAATACAGAAACCCCAGGTCACCACATTTGGCTGCCCCAAGGTACTCAGACCCTCTGTTCACAGTTAAGCAATGTAGCACTGCTTGGCTTCTTCTACATCAGCATTATCTCAGAGATCCACGTGCCGTGTCACTTCAAAATTGGACTGCATGCTGCTTCACCACACAGATGCTCTTGCTAATGTTATTCTTCTACCTTGTCTGCTAACTTACAGCAGACTAACTTTCAAAGAAAATACTTTTGAAGGTACCCAAGAGACCTTCAATAAGAAAGCAGGTATTTCAGGAGGTCCTTGGAGCCCTTTTCAAACTTATCACTGTTAGCTGCAATGCAGTGCGGTTTACTGCTGTCACATTTAAAAGGAACAGTTTAGTTGCCCACGTAACTTGGTATGGAAAGCTGAGGGAGTCTGACAGCAGCATTTGGACTTGAGAGTTTGTTTTAGATTATGTTCTGAGAAAAAATATAAAGTACAGAAGCAGAAAGGACATGATTTAGGCCATTTATTTATCCTACCTGTACACCTTATTTGCAAAATTTGACCTGTGTGCACATGGGCATTCAAATTAAGGAATACATCAAATGTGTATTAGTTAACCTCCAGAATATGGACTTACACACAAACATCTCTACTCAACAAGATACTGGAAATATACCTCTGGTACCCTTGGAGACATGTATGACATGATGGTGTAAGTTGTTCAGGCTGACAGAAGTAGCACGGATAAACTGAAGCACTTTAAAGCATTTTAAATGCATAAGGCAATGCGAGGTTTTTCTTGTTCATTGCCTTAAAATTAATGACATTCATAACACCTTTACCTGCTGTTGTGCAGCTTTTGGTGGAATGACAAATGCAGGCTGGTAGTGTAAGGTACAGTGGTGAAAAACCTATGGCTCTATTCATCATCCTGTAGAGGCCAGCAAAGCAAAACAAGTATTCCCAGTGAGCTATCTGTCTCATGAGTTATTCACCTATTTGCACTGAACTAGCCATGAAAGGTATTAGTCAAAGGAAGATCTTCTGGCACATTTCAGGAACAAAAAGCAGTTCTGGGCAAACAGTTGGCTCAGTCCCAGCTAACAGAGGTTCCACTGAATTGAATATACACGTGCGTAGTCTTCTCACAGGATCAAACATATTTAGCCAAATTTACCATAGAAAACTGTGGGTTAGAGAGTGGTTGTCAGCATGCTCAGGTCTTAGGCAAAGAGATGTAACAAAACTGTGCAGCAGTTGCTGTGTGTTAGTGAGGAAGGCTGAGTAAGAGCTCAGCATTATGGTAAGGTCCAAGGGACCCAATTCTCTCCGTTTGGCAATCAGCTGCAGGAAAGGAGCAAAGCCCTCCAGCTGTTATCGCTTCATCTGTGGCTCGGGGCACAGCAAACCCTGGCAGCTGCTGAGCTAGCATCTGTGCTGACGACCATACTTGGCTTGTATGGATTAAAGTTGGTCTGTGACTAAGATGTGCTACATAGCAAGAACACTTAAGGCTCTTCTGTTCTTCAGATTAGGATTATGAAATAATGAAGGCTCTCCATCCTGAGGTATGCCAGAACTTACACACACAAAGGGCCATTCTCTGCTTTCTTCCACAGCACCTGGAGTTTTATAGTTCTTGCTGTTTTACAGACAAATAATTTGTTTATAGGTGTCTTGGAGCTCACAGTGTGTTCATGCTATGTAGATAGCAATAGGAGTAATGAGTATCTACTTGTGTATGCCCAGAATTGTGCTCACTGCCTGTAACTTGAAAGGGCTTTGCCCACTTGTACACCCCAGGATATTTACATTAGGCCACTTAATTACAAAAATGAGAGAGTTATCATACCTGATTTGTCTATGCATGATGAAAAAATAACATAACCTTCCCCAAAAAAAGTTTTAGTTAACATCTAGGAGGGTCTACAATTAACTAAGAAATGAGAGGGCTATGAACAGAGAACTTGCATACAGTCTTTTGCTAGACTTTTAAAGAAAAACCCACCAGTGAGGGAACTGTGGGAATAAAGGAAACGCAATCTGTGTATGGGTTTATATGTGATTCTTTGAAACTGCTTGCGACAAAATGGAAGGCAGTTTTGAAAAGCCCGTTTTTTAAGATTTTACTGCTACATCAAACACGTCCTGTTGCATCACATCACAAGTGAGGCAAGCTAAAGGGATGTGTCATGGGGAGAGAGATGTCAGTTCAGAAATTGTGTACGTTTGTTCACAGTCTCTAATCATGTAGCGCTCCCTTTGTCATGTGAACAACCATGAATGACACAAGCTAGCCTGTAATAATCTTAGAAGTGCCCACCTCATCTTAAATGCATGCAAGCTACAGAAATGAGCTCGCTAATTGTTCACATTGTTTTTAAGAACACAGTTTTGTTAATTCTGTCAACGTGAAGATGGTTTCGAGATTATGCCAAATATAAGCATGCAAATAGTAGTGAGCTTAAGTACATATGAGGCATCTGAGCACCAGAATATTTTGAGGCTAAAGAAATGGAGAGACAAGGTACAGTAGCTGTTCCAAATCCTCCGTTCGCTCTTTGGCTGGAAAAAATGAAGTGGGACCAAAATAATGTTATTTCTCTTCTCATCACCTAGCAACGCTCTTCTTGCTATAGGAACGTAGCCAGCTATGTGGAAAGGAAAATAAAAGACAGCAGAATGACTCTGTCTGTCCCAGACAGTCCAAAACATACTGTAAGGTGACAGACGCCGTGCAACACAGTGTGCAATTAGCCTAATGGCTGTTCACAGAGACTTGCAGTCTGTCATCTCCGCAGCCGCGCTGTGCAGAATTCCTCAAACTGAACTACCTTAATTCCTCATGACAGCTCTATAGCGACGAATCTTGTGCCTAAAAATAAACTGGGCATAATGTATCTTCCATGCCCTGCAAGTATGAATAATATTCAGAAGCCACTGAACTGTTATTCCTAGAGATTCATTCACATTGTTGTACAGGCTGCCAAAAGGGACGTTTACAAAGCAGGAACAAATCAGAGATCACTAGGTCCTCTTCCTGCTATCAGATTTTAGAAAGCCATTCCTGTGTTACTTGTTTCTTTTTTTTTTAAGACTGGCTGAAACAGAAATATTTCCTTTAAGCTAATTTCAGCAGTAAGAAATGAACAGCAAAGACAAATAGCCAGCCACTTTAGCAATGATTCACTAAAATGCAACGTAGTCCTTTTGGGCTGTGATTTGTGACTGAACAAAAATAGCAATTAGGCTGCAGACGTTTAATAAGTAGCTATCTTAGATGTAGACTTCTAACTTGCATTGCATGTCTGAATCTATCTTTAATTTCTCTATGGGATAGCAAGCCAAAGTTTTCATTGAAAACTGTTTAAACCACTGGTGTTAACAGGCATATTGCAACAATTCCTGCAAGTATTTCTCTGTCTAGATAATATATAATATGTAATGAGCCTCAAAGCATCAAGCAGGATTCAATGAGACATAGTAGTTTTTTAAGTATGAGGGGAGAGAGGATAATATTAAAAAATAAGTAGTGCCCAGAGGCATTAGTAGCATGCAAGTAGCATCAAGCTTCTTCAGGAAGTCCTCCTACCTTTTTAAGTAGGTTGTTACCTGACAAAATACAAAGCCTTTAGCCTACCACCTGTTTGACAGATGAATTCTTGTGTTCCCTTCCAATAATATTTTATTAAAGTCAAATCTAAGAGATGAAAAAAATAAAAGGCAAATATCCAATGAATCAGAAGGAACCTTTTGGAATTTCTTTAGTCAGTCTGTACAATGCCATGCGACATACATGTGACTCTCTCTTTTTTATCATTACTAATTTTTTTTCCTGGACAGTGAATCATTAGTGCTCTCAGCAACTCAACTGGTTTTGTATTTATTCTAAATTTGGAAGTACTGCACCATTTGGACAGCACGATTACCTGACAGAAACTACAGACACGTCAGCTTTACACCCTTCTAACAGTGGGATTAGTTCTCGGACTAGCTGCTGTCCTGTGGTTAATGTGGGATGGGAGAGCTGAAAATCATAGGAATGCATTACCTTGGAAGAACGCCGATTTCCTGCTCACAGAAGGTAAGCTCCTGTTGAGCCCCAAGATCCTATCCAAGTGAAAGGCAAACACTTCACTCATGTCAAGGGGTCTTTTGATGATGCCGCAGTGCCCCTGATTACAGGCAGTTCCTGTGGTGCTGGGACCCCTCTCAAAGACTACCAGGACAGCTTTATGAGAAGGTAGTTCTTGGATGCTCTCTATCTGAGAATCTGCCAACATACGCATGCTTAGAATGTCTTCTTTGCTCAGCCACGAGGGAGAGCTCTCGCTGTAAATCCTGATGTTACTTTCTTCAGCCTGAGGCTGTGCCTTAATCCTCCCAGAAATTCCCCCAGGTCTCTGGTGTCCCCTTTCCCTGACTGCCATTTCTTTATGCTGGAGTATATCCAGTTGGTGGTTTTTTGCCTCCAGAGCTGTTGCTGCTCCTATGGCACCCACAGTGTGAATGTCCCTCCCTGGCTGCTGGAAGAAGATCTCTTTTTGGCCAGTGAAAGCGGCTTTTGGAAAGTGCTGCCCATAGTACAATGGGACTGCATGCTTCTTCCTGCTCTTTGGCTTCACCGTGCCTCGGATATTGGCAGGCTTGCTGCGCTTGGACCGTAGGGTGATATAAACCACGTTAGGTGGCACCAAGGTCCCATTGCCATCCAGATTGGGTTCCTGGAAGCTGGGTGGTGACAGGGTGCTGTCCAGTGGGATGCCCAGAAAAGAAGTTTGCGCTGCATCCTGGAGACTTCTGGAACTGATCGTTTCATATCCTCCTTTGTGCTGGGGTAAAACGTGGCCCACTTGACTGACGAGGAATCCCAGGTAGATCACACACGCAGTGCCCAACAGCAGATTCCTCCTTGTCCTCAGGCGCCTGCAAGTCCACAGCCTCAGTGTCCGTGGGGAGCACAGGCGACAAATAAACAAGTTTTTTATTTTACCTGGCTGATCAAAGAAGGTCATTTCTCTAGTGAATCTGCATGATGAAAACAGCATACAGTCTTCTGTACACTCCAGCCAGGATGCTGATGCATGATTTCCCTTCTCTGTTTTCTATTTCTCCTTTTCCAGAAAGCTTCCTGCATGGGTGATGGACAGAGACTATGGATATGCCTGGGAATGTGTTTAGTACTAAGGATGCTGACACTCCACGTCTGCAAGCCGTTGAATTCTTATCAGCCACCACAGGGCAAGTGATTGGTTTCAGAGAATGAATGGAGCCCGCTATGTAAGCAAAGTTTACTCACTTGTAGTCTAAAATATCTGAAGTTCTCCCTTGCAAACTGCAAAAAGAAAATGGTTAATAGTACCATTTCATTTCATTACACACATTCAGCATCCGTGGTTCTATATTTAAAGAGGCAGAAGTTCTAAATGAGACAATATGCATCTAGAAATGTTCCAGAATACATCTTTCACTTTCTAGTTACAATGTAAATTAAACACCAAAATCACAAAATACAGGCTCAAACTGTAATCTCAGCTAGCTGTCTTCCAACATTAGAAGAAAAGCTTATCAAATCCAAATTGTCATTTTTTTCTCATAAGACAGTCTTTACTAAAGCTCATGTTATGGAAATGCTGTAAATTACACACTACTAACAAGCAGTAACTGTAGTAGTTAAATATGCATATACTCAGTAATACAAAAACAAAGTAGCAGTAACAAATTTCCCTAGTTTAATGTAAATACAGTTCATATTACTTGTAAATCCACATTAAAAGTGAAAGATATTTAATTCTTTACACTCTTGTGAAGCCATAAAATAGGATCTAGCAATAGTTTTTCAAATAAAATCACAGTACCTTATATACCCTTTCAAAGAAACAAAGATAGAATAAGTGCATACAGTATACTTATTGCTATAAAAGGTATAAAACCTCTTACCTATTCAGCTTGACTCATCCTTTGTCCTGGTGAATTCCTTAGGTTAATAAAAATAACTTAGTAAAACTGACATTCTCAAAGAATGCTAGCCCATATTTCAGTTTTAAGTATAGTTCACATTTATGTACTTCATTACAAGCCAAATACTGTTTGGAACCGAACCGTGCTGTTAGGTTGTTTGCATACGAACTGCTATAAACTTACATGAACCTCACGTTATGGGAAAAAAAAAAAAAAAAGCCCTCTTCTATTTTAATTTCTGTAATGAAAAGTTCTGTGAACTAAGTGCCTTCCAAAAGTACATTCCATCCGTTTCTAACTCCTGAGGGCCCTCTAGTGCACTGCGCACAAATGAACAGAAGAGATCCCCATTTTTCCAGGGTTTTCTTTTTTGTAAGAAGGCCCTCTGCATTTTGAAATGTTTGACAATCATACGTTCTTGCGGGGAGAAACAAACAGTGGCTTTTAAAATGCTACCAATGTGCTACTAAACAGGAGGGTTTTCTATTTGAGCTTTCCAAAATGAGGACAGCACAGTCACTGTGCAGATAGGAGAGTCGAGGCAGTCAGAAGAGCTTGTGCAGAGCTGAGCAGTGAGACAGTGGTGAAGCTATGACTTCTGACTCCTTGTCTGGCATAAGCACAAAACAATAAAATGGATATGTTTGCTGCAATTAAACTAATAGGGACATTGCCTGTTCCTCAATTAACACCCTAGGGGGGATCAGACTGATTGAAGAATAGACTTATGTTTCACATGGGTCTAATTTGAGTTACAAAACTTTGTGAGTGGATTTTTTTCACTGACCACCACTTTTCTTTACTTAATTCAAAAAGCTCCGGACGAGTCTATATATAATAATATAATAATAATAATATAATATAATAAATATTATAAATATAATAATAATAATATAATAATAATATCAGTATAAATATGGCTAATCTTGCTTTAAATTGTTTACACTTTAAAAGGGTTGCATGATATGGACCTTCTCAAATCAGCCTTCCATGTTGGAGGGTCCTGCTGAAAGGTGGAATGGTCATTGAAGAGGTGCCAGCTTTGACCAAGAGAGAACATAAATGGGTCCTATGAACAGCCTCCTGTGTTCCACCTAAGAAAGAAACAAAGTGAGTGCTAAATATCAGCAAGTTATACTGGTAAAATCAGGGCACGGAGCATATTTGCACATACACATAAAGTCTTTTGAAATGCGTAAGACAGGTTTCTCTCTTTAAAGATAAATAATGGGAAGTGAACAGACCATTTAAACAAATCAGCATGAAGGTTGTAACCACTGTACTTCTTTCAACTATCTCAGCACGTTATTATTTTTTTCACCTTGCATTGCTAGTGCATGCTAGATATACTGCAACAGTATATCTGAATGTCCAGTTCCTGCATGCTGACTGTACAATTGCCTGTCCATGGCAATCAAGCAGTTGTGAAACGCTGCCTGTTCCAGTTACTAATATTTTTCCTTTGGCGTGGCATTTCTTTTAAATTCTGTAATCTACGCAATCTTTTTACAGGAATTCTTTAAAGATTATATGGTGGAAATTACAAAGGGATACGGGATTTTTCTTTCCTTCCTGAGTTCCTTTGTAGCCTAGAAGCTAAAATGTGCTGTACCCACTGATGTGCAGTGTTGATCACTGAAGTTTTTTTTTTTATGATTGCTGTGACTATGGCCATAGTATTTTCTTAATTTTTCATGTTCAGGAAAGAGAATTCTATCTTGTTAAGTTTATTGAAATGAACGGTTGCATGTGTTTAACTACATAGGATCCAGGTTGCATGTGTTCAACTACATAGAATTCAATATCTTGTTAACTGCACAGATATTTGCATCTAAATTTCTTTTCTGGATCTTTAAAAGATAACACATTCAGACATTGTTTATCTCAGTGCTTGTGTACAGCTCCAGTGCTATGGGCTTGTTTGGAAACAAACTTTCCTTTGTGTTTCAGGAAAGATAAAGACACGTTTGTTCTTTGGTAGAATTGTTCTTTCTTGTATAACTAATAACACAAAGATGCAGCAGGGCACAGAAGTGAGCTGAAAGGGTCATTTCTCTGTGTTCACAAAAAGTCTGGAGTATTTTTTTTGGAAGAATAGACTGAACTATGAGAGTTGTCTCCTCCAACACTGATCTCAATTGTTGCACCTATACATAGCTTACAAGTCAGTGTTTATTTCTTGCTGCAAACTATTTTCATGGTATTGCCATCAGTGTCCATTAAAGTCAGCTTCTTCTCATGTCACTTCTTTATATACCAATATTCCACAGCCAGTGTTATCTATTCCTAAGCCTAGGGGCACTGGAATATCAAACCTAATATTGGATTGGATGGAATGGAAAAGGGCAATGGATGGAAGAGAGGAAATTAGGAAGTAGTTTCCAGTTCTTTTCATTCCTAGACACAGAACAGCTGAATTTTTTGAACCTTTTTTGTCTTGTTATAACTGCTGAAACACAGCAGCAGCAGTGTGCTCATTTATAGAAGAAACCAGATCAGTTTGTGTTTGTCACAGGGGCAGATATTCACGTTGAAATGGCTGAGGAATGGTGCAGTGCTGGCTGTGCTAGGCCAACGGGCCTGCAGGAAGAAAAGGAGTCATTATTATAGTTAACATGGATTTTGGAACGCAGTGCTTGTGCTTGTGCTGGGCTTATGCTGTGTTTTTAAGGCTGTCAACGTGAGCTGGCATCTGGGAACTGTACTTTGAGAGGACAGAGATGTTTGCTTCGTTACTAAACATGCTGACTAATAAGTCTGTGCTTTAATTGCTGCGGGTCAAATCCTTACAGGGCAAACAGCGAGAAAGCTCCGTGATATACGCGTGAAATATTTCCTTTTTACGACTTGATTATTGAACAGTGCAGCAGTTTACGGCGGCCGCTCACCTCAGCCCGGGTGCATGGACGGATGCCCGCCGCGCAGCCGGGGACAGAGGGCGGAGGCGGGCCGACCCGGGGGGCGGGGCATGGCGGGCGGGAGGCCGGAGCGGCGGGGCGGCCGGTGAGGCGGTGCGGCGGGGTTGGGGTGGGCAGTGGGGCTGCGGGACGGGCGCCTGTCGGGGCCGTTGCTGTCGGCCTCCCCGCAAGCGGTGTCTGAGCGCTTGGCTTGCGGGAGCCCGGGGAAGCGCAGCCGCGCTCTGCTCGCTCGTGTTCCGCCTAATGGCGGCCTTGGGGCAATGGCAGCCTGCTGCTAGGAGGGCAGAGTCTGGCAGCGTGGTGAGCACGTTTTTCCGTGCTGCGTGCTTAGCGAAAGCGTTGCCTGTCTTTGGAAAGCGTGGTCGTAGGGAAGAGCAGAAACACTCAGCTCATCAGGAAAGGGCTTGGAGAATATGGCCTGTGAGGAGAGACTGAAGGAACTGGGGCTGTTCAGTCTGGGGAAGAGGAGGCTGAGGGGGGACGTCATTGCTCTCTTCAAATACCTGAAAGGTGCCTCCAGTGAGAGCGGGGTCGGTCTCTTCTCACAGGTGGCAGGACGAGGGAAAATGGCCTCAAGTTAAGCCAGGGTAAGTTTAGGTTGGATATGAGGAAACACTTCTTTACAGAAAGGGCTGTTAAGCACTGGAATGGGCTCCCCAAGAAGGCAGTTGAGTCCCCATCCCTGGATGTGTTTAAGAAGCGTTTGGATGTGGTGCTCAGGGATGTGATTTAGCAAAGGACTGTTAGAGTTAGGGTAGGATGGTCAGGTTGTGGTTGTACTCGATGATCTTTAAGGTCTTTTTCCAAACTGAGTGGTTCTATGAGCAGTGGGCCCGGTGTCACCTGAGCAAGCTGTTGTGTCACCAAGGAGCCAACAGGAGCCTCCTCAAATGAGGATGAGAATATCCATCCTGAATGGGAAATGTGGCATAGGAAAAATGTGCAAATTAGCAGTGTTAGATACAGCTTCTAAGCAAATCAAGTGAGCGTGAGCACTTTCAGATTGTGGCAGTCCTGTGGATCCAACTTGCAATGGCTTCTTGCTTACACAGCTGTTTGTAAGGACTGCACCGCTGTGTTACTCTTGCGGAGGGTGAAGGTAATAGTCACAGAATGGCTTGGACCTCAATGCCCACCCTGTCCCTACTCCCTGCTGTGGGCTGGTTGCCCAGGCTGTGCTCAGGCTGCCCAGGGCCTGGTTCACTCTGGCCTTGAGCATCTCCAGGGGTGGGTGTATGGGAACTGCTGAGTCACGGCCTGAACCTCTGATCACCTGAGGCGAGCCATGAGTCAGCCACAGGAGCACAGGTGAAGGCAATTCAGCTGTGCTTCCTGGCTGCAGCCCTCCTAGACCTATTGAAGAGCTGGCTACCAATGGGGAAGGATCTCTTCTGGAGATCGCCTCTGCTGGTGTTTTGTGGGTGGCGTATTCCTGAGGAAACAGTGAAAACAGAGAACACGAACTTTTAGTGAGATAGGCCATTGGAGTTACTGGGATAAAGCCAATGTATACAAACAAAACTATATTTCCTCTGTAGTTCAGAAACCCTGAAATACCTTTCAGCTACTTACAGAACTTCTTTTGGTAACTGCGACAACTGTCTGTGACTTGCAGATACAAGCACTGTGTTCTGACATCCTGGCAACTTCAGCTATAGCCCTGCTGTGCATTTGTTAGCTGTAAGCCATTGGAGGTGTGTAAGCTTATTCATCTGGCAATTACAGGATTGTAGACAACACAAGAGGTTTTTCAGGAGTCCTCTGAAACTCTCAGAACAAGACTAAGGTTATTGACCCGGTACGTGCAAACAAAAGTGCAGTTGACTTAGTGCTGTATGTCAGTACATTATTTGCTCTTGACACTGGATCATAGATTAATTTTAATTTAGAAGGGACCTCTGACAGTCATATAGTTCAACTCCCCACTTAAAGCAGTGCTGTCACTGAAGCTCATCCAGTTGCTCCAGGTCTTGTCCAGCTGAACTTGCTCTTGAACTCATTAAAATGGAGTTGGAAGTTGGCCCTGATGTTTAGCTAAATTTGGAGAGTAAGTACCCAAAACCTTGGAGAGCTGCAGAGTTTTTATCAGACTGAATGGAGCATGCTCCTCCTCAGTTAACTGAAATATGTGGGTTTTGTGTCATAGTTATAGTTCTACAGTTGTGCTATTGTCTTCAATGTGCATTTTTTAATATTTTTTTATATTTTATTATAAATATATATATTAGATACCATCTTGCCCTGCATCACACAGATTTTCTCCTAGTGGATATAAGAATGAAGTATTTTTAATGTGACATTTATATGTAATTAAAAAAATCAAAAAGGATGACAAGCCATTTTGAATTTGAAAGGTTCTTCATATTTTACGTGAATAATGACTTATTTATACTTATTTATCTAAAAACTGAAGAACTGAACCCTGCACTCAGAGAGATGCAATGTGATCAGCTTTATTTTTATGTCTTTAATAGCATAAAGGCTTTTCTTGTGGAAAAAGCCAGCCTTAGTGCCTTACGTGAAAGGCATTTAACATGCTATGAGTCAGTCCTGATGGCATGAAGCTAGCTGATGTAAGCCTGTATCTATTCTGATTTATTCTTGTGATGTCACAAGGTGTTTCTCAGCCTGCAAGTTCAGTCTTGGAAGAAATCTCAGCCTTATTATATCCACTGACAAAGTGGAAGTTTTCCCAGGCAAAACGTACTTTACAGAATCTTTAAGTATAGTGAAAATCGTCTGGTGGAGGTTATCTTCTAAATAGGTAAGGAAAGTGAAGAGTAAATGAGAACAAGAGAACTGAAATACCTGTGCCATTGTACCTTTGCAGTAAGTCTTCTAGATGTCATTTGTGGTTTTCTCAGAAGTATTTAATGAAAAAATGATCTTTCATGGAGAGAAACTAATTGGTAACAGTACTTGTGTGACTGAACTTTTCACTCGCTAATACAACTGATTAAATTCAGCCAGCACTGATGATTCTGCTGAAGCTTAGATAAAAGCACTATCTCAGCAGATGTGGTTCTCGGTGTTCTAAGGACTGCAGAGCAGCTGAGGCTAGAGGGTTAAGCAAGATGAAAGCACATGCTGTGGCTCAGCTCTTCCTTTTTCGCAGAGTACAGTTGCAGCACCCCTTAGCTGATTTGGCAAAATTTCCTCCATCCTTTTTTAGCTTCTTTCCTCCAGGCAGCACTTGGTCCACTACACTGGGGAGTTTCAGACTGCAGTGGGAAGTCATTACAATGAGAATAAGCAGCGTTACATCAACAACAGGATTGCGTACCTCTATAAATATGTCCCTTTATACTCAGAGTAATTGTTTGTTTTTAACAGTGGAAATCTCTCATTGAAAAAAGGAAGTCTAGAGGATAAACAACCACTAAATTACCTACTGCCAGTTAAATATCGTATTGCAGATTACAGTTCCAAGTGCTTTTCCTATTTGTTTCTTACATGTTTGATTTTCTTGGATAGTTATCTTCAGAGGCACTTTTTCTGTCAAATGCATATCAGAGGTGTATGGGACACTTCTGTTGAGTGTAACCTCAAGGTGAATCTCCATCCAAACGATCAAAAGAAGAGGTTGTTATGAGATGAAAAAAATCTGTGGCTTTCACTTGTAATTCTATGAAATGAAAGAAGAAACTGTTGAGGCAGCTTGTCCTGCTACTCAAAGGGAAAGATGAACCTTTATTCCTGCTTTATAGTAACCAGAGCAATTCTTGTGGCTTGCTAATAGTCTATGTGAAGCTCACTATGGCAGTCTGTTGAATCTCTGTGCCTATTCGTGACCTGTAGGCAGCGAGGTTGCAATTTACTGTAGCTTCTAGTAATAGTTTTATCTAATTTTCGAATCCCTGCTTTTTACACACCTGTGTGACCAGTTTGCCTGCAGGAGTAAGAATGTTACGATTCAGTGTCTCCCTAGGCAGCAAGTTCTCCCCTTACTCACAGATTCGAATCTTCTGCACTCATGGCATCGTGTTTTCAGCCACAATTTCTGTGAAGTTACAAAGTGCGCCGATTATTGCGTGCATCTGTTCTTAATTGGCCTGTGATTACAAATGTGTGGCATGGGATTCCATCGTATAGTTCCCAGTTCTTTCAGACTTCTCAGAGAGAAACGTTAGGGTCCTTTGAATTGCAGGTTTCTGAACTAGAATGGTATTTTTTATACTCACATATTTAATTCTGCTCTCTGATTTCAGAACCTTTCAAGACCTGCAGCACAAAAGAAAAGCTCTACAAAAAGAGACACCTTCAGAGCAAAAATGAGCTTTGAGAGAGCCTACAATGCCTTTAACATCAGCAATAGCACAGATCTAGCTATTGGATTTACCTCTTCCACAGTAGCTGTTCTTCTATTTGGGACAAATTTTGTGCCAGTTAAAAAATACGATACTGGTGATGGTAAACTTAACCTACATTTTTACTTTTATTACTTTTGCTAGTAGGAATAATATTTCACCTGCAAATGTGAATGTTTCTATAGATACATTTATAAGTATCAATGCAGCCTGGTTCAAACTTTCTTTCTGATGTTGGAGTATAAAGCAGTAAAGCATTAGTTCAGGATACAGTAAATCTCTTTTTAGCAGTAATGATGGTTCCATGAGCATCTTCCAGCAGAATGTGTAGTGTCCCCAGCATGGTAAAAGTAAAGACTCTCAAGTACATACATTTATATATGCATATTTTATATACATATAAATATATATTTATAATAACACTGTAAAAGGCTTTCGGAGTGTTGCCCTTTGGTTGTGGACCTGAGACCAATCAGAAAAGGATATTTTTATACTTATAATGAGTAATGCTAATAAGAGGAAACATCATTTCTATTTTCTTATAATTTCCTTAGAATGTTATCACTTTTATGATACTGGTTTCATGTTGTATTTGCACGTTTATGTGAAGCATAGTCAGTGACCAGCCCCCAGAGAAACGTATCTACAACTGTGTCCTTTTAATATCATCATGTGTATTACAGGCTTCTTTTTTTTTGTACCAAATGCAGTCCTAGAAAGACAAGGATAGTTTAAAGTAAAAGCCTTAGCTGGCATGAAGTTAAACAGTCTGCTTAGTTGCCCCTTCAGTGAAGGTTGATTTGTCCAAACTTTGTCATCCTCAGTGTATTAATGAGCTGGGCCCTGAAGGAGTTTTGTCTCCCTACTGGGGTGGTGGGAGAAGCTTTCAGTAACTTAATATCCTCTTTGTCAGAAAGCTATCAGAACTTTCATGCATTTGGGGATTGGGCCTGTGTAAACATTGCCCACCAATTTATTTTATTCTATTTTTTTTAATAAAGTGCATAGCACAGAATAGATTGACAGAAAGTGACCAGGTTTCATTTTTTTCGTGTACTATCTAAGCTAAAAGAGTACGTTCAGAGGCAAGAGACTCACACTTGCCATGTTCTGCCGTTTCTCTCTTGTGCACATTTGCTTTTTCCATAGGAATGTTCTTCCAATGGATTCTCTGTGCTTCCATATGGATAGTTTCTTTGGTGGTCAATTTAATCCAGAATTGCCCCCGCTTTTGGCCTTTGGCTATGGTAGGAGGCTTCCTGTGGGCTACAGGTAAGTGTTCCAGTCCTTGAGAAACAAAGTAATCCTAACTCATCACAAAAACAGCAATGAAACCATTTCCCTATATGAGGTAATGATTTGGCTTTTCTAGTCCTGCTATTAATGGAGCTTTACTTTTGGAGCAAGTATAATTGTGAATAGTAATACTGCATATGCTGGGTGGAGCTACTTAATGCCTCCAGCTTTTTATTTGATAAGCAGCAAATTCGCACCAAAAATAACTTCTAAAATGATGTTGAGGAAAAGTCTGTGATTTCAATGTATTTCTTTTTTAAAAAGTGCTGTTGCTACCAACCTGTAATTGCCTCAATTGCATCCCCTTCTGAACATTCTCAGACTAAACTGAATCTCAAACCTCAAACTAAGATATGCAAGACCACAGTCTGGTTTAGACCTGATTTCAATTTTGGTGTTGTGGGTCATTGATTTTTATTTATTTATTTTTTCTTTCTTTTTCAGGCAACATCACAGTTGTTCCTATTATTAAAACCATAGGCTTAGCTCTTGGTCTTTTGATATGGGCTTCTTTCAATTTGCTGACAGGCTGGGCAAGTTCCAGGTAAGCATTTTAAATCATACATTACTGATGTTTATCTTTCCTTGTTAACAGCTAGAGTGTAAGCACCACTGCCAATAAAAAGGATACTTAAAAGATCTTTTCTTTCAATGTGGAAAGTAGTCAGATTAATTATTTTATCTTTTTTTTGTTTCCTTTGCCTCAATAGCAAGAAAATGCCCAGTCATGTTTATTAACATAATTGAGTAAATAAATAATGTGGGTTTTTTACATAAAACTAGAGCACTTTCTTCTGCAGCATGGATTGATAAAACAATTCAAATTAACTTTGGCTTTTAAATACCCAGATTTAAAAAAAAAAATCAATTTCAATTAAGTTAAAGATTACTCTTGAATAAACGCGAATTTTTGCAAGCCAACTGAAACATCAATCCAATATTTCTAATGTAAACTTCAGCTGAATTATTTCTGCGTATAAAGATTTTCGAGACTAGATGATAGTACTTGGTGTGCAATCAGTGCAGCTAAGAATAAATAGTTAAATATTTCAGGTTTGGATGGTTTGGAATTGACCCAGAAGAGGTAGCAAGACCAGTCTTAAATTATATTGGAGCCGGACTTTCACTGTTAAGGTAAAAAGTAATGATTAATTTTTGTAACATTAAAAATGTATTTTAGAGCCACGGGAAAAATGCAACCAGCAGGCAAATGGATTGAACTATTTTTTGCAGTGTGATTTACCATAAAATTTTTGGGTTGTCCATACCTGTTTTCTTTTTGCTTCCATGCCTAGATTTCAGAACAGGAACACATTTTTATGCTGGTAGATGTGGTCAAGACAGATGTGTGGTGCACTCACTGTAGCAGCTTCCTGTCTACCTTCCCTCCAACAACTGCCAAACAGTGGCTTCCTTTGGGACCTTTGGAAGGACTTCTCATTTTATTATTAGTTTATTATTTGTTCATGTTTTGAGCTAAACATAGAGTAACGATGGTCTTTGTTAGGTAGCAGTTGTCTGCTTTCCAGCTGATTGGCCAGGGACGTTTTTCCAGGAGCAGAAGGGCAGCCCTGAATGCAATAGGCTTGCCATAGGCATGCTAAGCAATAGATGCACAAAATACCCCCCAAAAAATGCACAAAAGAAGAGAGTTAAGAACATGGGGGAAGTGGAGACCATCCTTGATTGCTGTGACTTTTTACTCATTAGCAGTGCATGGTTTTGAGAGGTTTTCACTGAACGTAGCAGTGCTACTATTTCTGCCTGATAAATTCATTCAGCTCACCAGCTGCTTCCTGCCTGTTCCTGAGATATGAGGAAAAAGTGATCAACAAGGGAAAAGATCCTTACTAGACTTGTTTTCCTGGCAAGCTGCACAAAGCATATGCATATTGCTCTGTAGAGCTCAGAAGCATGTGTTTCATTTTAGCCTCCTAGGTGGGACCTGTGCATATTTTCCTAGTCCCTCTGGAGGAAGCTGGCATCTTTTTGTGTCTCTCCATATGGCTTCAGCGGGAGATAAATCACTCCTCAAATGGAGGCTTTCTGTTTATGGCTACGAGAAAGAATTTGTAGAACATCAAATTATCTTGCTGAAAAATAATGGAAAAAAAAAAAAATCCAGAACCAGACTGATTACATATACTTACCTGATTTCTGAGAGCTGGGGGTAAATTAGAAATGTTCCCCTTTCTTCTTTCTTTCAATCAGTCAGTGCATTGGAGCACCGCTAAGCAATACCCCTTCCCCTCCTGCACGTGCATGAGACCCTGCAGGAGCAGTGTTCTCCCAATTGCACATGATAGAAGACTCAGAAAGACTTAATTTCCCTTGGGAACAAATCCAGTTCTGTGCAGGTTGAAGTTTTTCCATATAGAATTTCTGTGCAGATGTTTGACCATGTGTGGTGCTGTGCCAAAGGGACTGTTACCTACCACAGCTAATATTAGCATGTATCTGTAACCACACCACAGAAAGGAGGCATTTCAATAGCATTACATAGAAGAGAGAACATTAAAGACTAAAACAAGATCAATCTGGTTTACTTCTGCTGAAGTGGTTTGTTAAAACTATTCAAAGCAATTGCATTTAAAAAATGTATTGAATTGAGTCTGGGATAGTAATGACAATAAACTAGCATGCTTCCAAATACACCTTTTGTTTCTGGACACTAAACGTTATATCCTTGTGATCTGACTTGTAGTAATCATTGGTATGTTTTTCTTTTCTGAGTGCTGTCATATTTTTTTTTATCAAAACTGAAGTCCAAACATCTTCAGCTTCATTAGAAAGCACGCCATTACTCAGAGAGTCTGTAAGTACTCTATAGTTGTTACTTTACAGCAGTGAAAATATGTAACCATTTAAAAACAACAGCAAAAAACTGCATGAATGTTAACATACTTTGTTAAAGTTCATGGTAAACTACATAAAACTGTATAAATATGCATTGATTATATTTTATTTGTGTATTCAGTCAAACGTGAGCAACAGAAAAGGCTTTCCCAAATGTTCTTTCTCAGCTTTATTACTTTCTCAGCTTTATTACTTACAGGTACTTATTGCAGAGTTGCAGACAGCGTGTATTTCTTCCCTCTCTGAGAAGAGGAAGCTATTTTAATAGAGACTTAACTATAATAGCAGGAGAATGCTTAGTGGGAAGGTAATTGAGTGCTTAAGTGTTCTAGATTTTTGCCATGTTACAGAACCAGTCCCTGATCCACAGCACAGGACAAATTTTGGAAGGCAGACCTGCATTTGGATTTTAAAAATGCTTGTGAGTGCTCTGTAACATAGGAAAGCCAAAATCCATAGCCAATCATTTACAGACTTGGAGATGGATCCAATTATTACTGTTAGGTTCGTTCTTTTTTTTTTTTTCCTGAAATGATTTTTCTTTATTCAAAGTATTTGTGTAAATTCCTCTTCTTTTTCCTTCCATTATCATTTTCTCAGAGCAGAATTGCTGTATTAATATGATGTCTGAGATGCTGTTTTCTTTTTAAAGGGAAAAAAGCAGGACTGAGTAAAAACTCTACTTTTTCTACAGTCTGTTAATGCTTCTGAAGACACCTCTGATGTCTCATGGGTGACCAATCTTTCTCCAGTAAAAAAAAGATTTGTGTAAGTCATTAACAGAGAAAGTAATTAAACACACAATAAGAACATAATTTGTTAATTTGTTTTCCAGGCATAGTCATGCTCTAACAAACAATACACATGTCTGTATATGAATAGCTAAGCTAGTTGGATAATTTTCTTCTACGTTCAGTGTGTTTTACCCTACCAAAGAACAACATTTGCAAAGTAAACATCAAAAGCAATTAAGTAATTACAGAGCTGGTTTATATCATGTTGTTTATTGGCACCCAGCATAGAAGGATTCCATGCTTCCGGGTGTGGTTTCCAGATGAAAACACCTGCAAGAAGCATGGCAACCTGGTAACTAAACAGCAGAAATGGTCCAAGGTGGGATTGGTGGCTAGCAAGGGGACTGCTGACAGCTGAGGCCCCCGTCATCTGGAAGTGGAGAAGGGGTGCATTATCCTTGAAATCTTTATGTGGAAAACATTGGCTGCAAAGTGAAGCTGAGAGTGGGCGCATTTTTAACTGTATCTTTTGTTTTCTCCTAGCTTCACTTCTAAAGAAATATTGCTTGGTTGATGTGGTTAATACTGGTTGCAGGTTCTGGACACAAGAGTTGTCTGTATTACTTGGCCATGAGGTGCAGGAAAACTAAATAACTGTTTTGAACAAGTTCTGCTTTAAAAAAAAAGATGTGCTAACATACCATCTTTATGGCATTGCTGGCAATTTTCTTAGATGTTTTAGGTGTGTTACTCACTTCCCTAATTAACACCAGGCTGTTTTCTTTTTCCTGATTTTTGCTCTTTTTAAAGAGGATGTAGCCTAGCTGTCATAGCTGGAGTACTCTACGGTTCCAGTTTTGTACCAGTGCTTTACATCAAGGACCATGGAAGAAGAAATGGAACAATATATGCAAGAGCAAGTCAATTTGGTAAAGGCTAATAAGCCCTTCTGCTTTATGTCATTATTACACAGCAGTCTTCTGCTTTCATAAAGGCACAGGACAAAACTGTACTGCTGGAAGTGCAGTGACAAAACACAAGTTCTGCACCACCTTACGTGTTATCAAGTCTGTTGCCATCTAAATACTAGAGCTCCCTTTTTCCCAGAGGTGACTTACATTAAAGGAACAGTGAGAAACAACCCAGAAGATACCATGCTTATCTCACTTCACATCTTACCAAATGTAGCTAACATTTTCAAAGTACCAGATTCGTATGCCAGGAACATGAGGGACAAGAGCTCACTCAGCTGCCAAGTTAGTGCACTAGTAATGGGAAAGAAGACAGAACATAATTAATGAGCAGAAGAGATATACAGAAGTTTAAGTAATTAACGTCGTATTGCTTTTTAAATGGAAGGCTTTTGTTGAAGTGTAACAATGAACTTCATGTATTCCCAAACTAGACACAATGTGTTATTATTGTAGTTGCCTTTTCTGATGAGGACTTGCAGGTGGGAGGAGATGGAAATTACCTTGCTACATGCTTAACCACCTTGGGAATGTTTTATTTAGCACCTACCCAATCTGTAAAGGATTGTTGTTAGTGATTAGAGGGATCAAAATTGTGATGCATTCTTCAAGATAAGAAAGAAAGAAAAAAAAGGCCATGTTTATCTTCCCTGGTATCAGTTGGTGTGCAGTTATCTGTGCAGTCACATGGGCAGTTTTAAATGTATGACATGAAACGAAATGGCTATCTACAGGATTGCAAATGTAGATGGTTAAGAGAGGATGTGGTTATGTAAAACAACTCCCCATCACTTTTGTGGCCTCATTTAAGGGTTTTCTCAAGTTTTTTATAAATTAATTCAGTTGCTTGACTAACAGAGTTACAAAAAATAACTCGCAGGAATGCATAAAGGCTTGTGATAAATGCTGAAGTCAGTGCAACATTTAATTCATGTTTAAGAGGATGTGTATGACTAACCAAATCTATCCACAGTCAGACTGTTACGTTACTCATAACCACAATTTGAACCTGAATTGTTAGCAGTAGCATTTTATGTATTTTTGTCTGTAGGAATAGAATCAGTTAAATAAATGTAGTTAAGATTAATAGCTGGTATTTCAGGCTAATAGCAATTTCTCAATTTCTCTCTCAGACTTAGATTATGTTTTTGCACACTTCAGTGGAATATTTCTTACAAGTACCATCTACTTTTTGATCTACTGTGCAGTCAGGAAAAACAAACCTAATGTTTATCCCCAAGCCATACTACCAGGTATGTCATACTGTTCAATTAGTAGCTAATGACTGTTCTTTGTACTTCTTTGCAGTGACTACTGCAGTCTGTGTACTGGAGCTGTAGTTAGCCTTTGAAGTCTCTTCATTTGACTTTGGTTTGAAAGATACTCCTATTAGGTTAATTAAAGTTAGGACAAAACCTTAATTTTGCTCTGATCTGGAAAGTGACATTGCAAGTGGTGGATTTTCAAAAACTAACTCTGCCTTAGAGGATAACACACTGCCCAGGAAAGCTTGAACTTCAGTGATAATTTGCTACTTGAGTTGAGGTGGCTGATTTTATCCCTTGAGCTTTGGTCTGGGTTATCAGAGCTAGCTTGTTACTGTACTAAAATGTTCAGTTTTGCTATTATGCTGTAAATACAGATGTTTCACAAATGGCTGTCTATACTTCTCTGTACATGTTTTTGATCTGAATTTATTTTTCTAGGGTTTGTTTCTGGTTTGCTTTGGGCTGTAGCCAATTGCTGCTGGTTCATCGCCAATCACTATCTCAGTGCTGTGGTCAGCTTTCCAATAATTACTGCAGTAAGTATATAACGACAAAATCTCTGACTAGAATTGAAGTGAAAGTTCTTTTCCTGCTGTTTGTGGAATTAAGATGAAATTTTGGCACACCTAGGGCTTTTTTTTGCCTCTCTTGCTTGTCTGTGCTAGCCTTTGTTTTATTGGAAACTTTCATGACTATGACAAGCACCATTTTGGCCAGTGAAAAGTGGAGGAGTTGAAAGTAAGTGGAGCTGAAAGTCCAATTTAAAGTGGAGGAGTTGAAAGCAAGAGACTTCAAACTGTGTTGAAGCCAGTGCTCTGGAAACATAACTGTATCAATATGAAACAGTGAACTGAGGTGATCAAAGGCAGAGAAGTTACATTCTTTCATCTCACCAAGTGTATATTGCTCTGGATTTTTTTCTGTTGTTTTGCTTAATTCAGTCAAGTATTTTTTACCACAGTTCCTGAACACATTTAACAGCATTTGAATTGCTGAAAATAATTTTCTTATACCTAGGCAGGGAAAATGGCTGTTGGATTCCTGCTTATGGTGCTGTACCTTTCAAACTGTTAACATCCAGAAGTTGCATAAATTCCATCACTGTGTACAAATTTGCTGCTACTCTCTCAGGAGTCTACTGAATGGTACTGCAAAGCTGGATAACTTCTGGCAAATTGAAGTTTATAAGTATCAAAATCAATGTTCTGCTGAACAGCTCTATTTTGAAGAGGAAAAAAAAAAAACAACTAATGAAACAATAGGGATTAAAGTTTGCTTCAAGATGCAGTTAGTCAAAATGAACTCTGCAGTAGGCAATGAAAAAAAAAAAAAAAACTTGGCATCATTCTAATTACAAACTGAAGGATTAGTGGAAAGCAGCTTTAGTAACTTTGGTTATCAGCATACGTAAAGGGCAAGGATATAAAATCACTAAATGAAACATTTTAAAGACAGCACTGATGAGAAGCTGCCTGTCTTTCACTGCAGTTTTGGAATTGCTCCTTTACTTCACCCTGGAGGGAATTTCAGTTATTCACCACGTCCCTTTCACAATTTGTCTCATTTAAAAAATGCATTCCTCTGGCAATGTAAGTTATCTAGACAGTGAAATAGCACCTTAGTTATTATGTAAATAATACTTTGCAATTTCACTCAGAAATAGCATGTGCAAACACACTCAGCATTAGGTACTGTTGTCTCCTGGTATAAATTTTTGTCCTATTGAGTTTACTTAAGACAGGGAGAGGAAGATGACTGTCTAAACATCTGTCAGGTGTTTCAGAGAGCAGCTGTAATGGGAAGCATTTGCAGAGAGTTTCAGACATTTTCTTATCAGACGTGAGAATTCAGGTCATTGCACACAGAGGAGATAAACTGTATTACCAGGAACGTCTGGAAAGCATCATTGTGTGCCACTGTTTGCTGTTAGCTAGGAAACCTGGAAGACAACATCACAGACAAAACACTAGTTTTCCTGACCTGTCTTAACAGTCAGGCTTTGTGCTTTGTCCAGATCCCTGAAATACAGGAAATAACCTTAATTTTCCAGTGTCTTGATATCATACCGAGTGATAAAATCAAACTTTGTTGGACAGGTTAGTCGCAGTAGAGTAGAATATCCTTGATGGCTGCCAAAAAAAAACCCTGAATAATCCTCTGAAATGTGGTGATAGATGAAAGTCTGTAGTTTGGACATACTATTTGGAGACTCTAAAAGAACATGTAACAGCTAGTGCAGACTCCACAGTGTAATTCAGAAAGAAATTATGCCCTCTGTAAAAACAGTCTTTTACTTCTTTAGCCCTTCTTGATTATTTATTGTATCTTACCTCCTAGGGTAAGGTACAGTCACTTTGATGATGGTAATGCTTTTTCCATGAATGCTGTAATAATACAGGATGGAAATGCATAAACTTGCTGTCCAATTGAAATGCAAGCACCCTTAAAACAATAATGAGAATGTGGCACGTTTTAATGAAATGCTGTAATGTACAAATGAATCTTATTCTTCAGGGTCCTGGCCTTATTGCTGCAATGTGGGGAGTCCTTGTGTTTAAAGAAATCAAGGTAATCTTAGTAGGCCTTTTACCTAGTCTCTCTTGTGGTTGTCTGTAGCTTATAGAGCAGCATTACTTGATAAACAGCTGTCTCCCTTCAGTTTCTCCACCTTACAAGTATTGCATTATGAAGCTGACAGTCGGGTCGTGCACTAATAAGTTTTCCAGGAAAAATTAAGAACTCTGAACAAAGGAATGAAGATTGGAATTCCAGAGCTATGAGCAGCAGAGGGGGGTAAATAAAAGCTGTAGCATTGTCAAGAAATGGGATGCCAAACATAACCTTTATTTGAGCCAGTTCTTTCAGTGGGAGCAGGGAATTTAGCAGTTGTCCAAAGATCACATGGACTAATAAACCAGGATCAAATCCTCCAAAGGACCAAGCAGTGAGCATCCTTCTGATGGGCAATACAGAGATCCTTAAACTGATATGCACAGAACAGGCTAAGTTACTAGATGTTAACATAACACGGCTGAAATGATTTTTCTAATGGAATTTGAAGCATAGCAGTGTAGCCTAAGATTTCCTTAGCTATTCTGTACAAGATTCATGGTGTGTGTAATTTGCCATTACGGATGAGATTAGCTTTTCATGCAATGGATAGATTTGTTTTATCATAACATTAAACCCTATTTTTTTTTTTAGTTTCTTTTTTTTTTTTTTTTTTTGTGAAGAGAGATAAATTATGATGTATGTTTCTTTTTCTCTCCTTTCATCTATCCAGGGCCTGAAAAACTACGTATTACTCTCAGTAGCATTTTGCATCATTTTGGCTGGATCGCTCTCCACAGCTTTTTCTAAAGTTTGAAGATCTTCTTACCAGTAGATGGTGCTGCTGTCTTGTATAATCAAAAGCACAGCTGTGTGTGTCAACGACTATTTGCAAAATGCATGTCCAACATTTAGCATAACTTTTTTCAGGGAAGTTAAGAAAAAAAAAAAAGAAAACCTTTAGCAGGAAAGAAAATCTGGAAATGTTTATTTCCACATTTCAAGGATATCAAAGGATCTTATTAAATAAAGCCAGATGATTGAATAGTTAGTGATTTTGTTGGTTTAGGTATGAAACTTGCATCACCATAAATTCCAGTTCACTGCTGTGATGGTGGAGAAAGGGAATCAATATTCTGTGTGTGTTTACTAATTCATCTTATTCCAATGCTGTCTTACTGATTTGACTATATTATGTCTGGAAATACTTGTGTTTTGGAACATAAGATTCAAAGATGTGAAACTTGTTTCTTATTTAGAGGCATTATTCTTTAAAGATAACAATTCATATAAAAATATTCCAATCATTGCAGATTGGAAGTTTTGAAGGAAATGCAGAAAGAAAAAAAGAAGGTACTGAAAAATAAACTAGTGCTTGCTGCTACTGTCTTTGTTTAAATGCCATAACATTATGTAGAAATCATGACCATGGTATGAATTGTTGGGGTTTTTAGTGAGCTCTTGTTGAGTGGACTAAATCTGTCCAGAAAAGTTCAACACTCAGACTGCAGTCTTAGGGGGAAAAAAAAACAACAAGAAGAGCAGCAGTATGGCTATGTTTTCCATCTACTTTATAAGCTCTACTCATAGCATGTTGAGATTACATTGTAATTTCATTCAAGTTTTAGTCTGGAAAAATCACAGAATGGATTGGGTTGGGAGGAACCTTTAAAATTATCTAGTTCCCACTGCTGTGTAATCTGTCCCCAGCTGTGCTAGGAATAAACAAGCAGCATTGCTTGAACTAGGGGACGTAGTTTACCTCTAACCTTGACCACCTGTTTCCCATCTTCACTACATGAAGTAGTGTTGTAGGCCCTGTCTGTTTCTATAGTTTCCTCTTTTGTTTGGTGCTGTGAGTATCCTGAGTGGAGGTGTCTTGGGTTCAGAGTTTTGCTCTGTCTTGAGGGATGCTCGTAAGTTCGTGTGTGGTGTGGGCCCAGTATTTTTCTGCCAGATTGGATTGTAGGAAACATTTGAATCTACTAGGGCAGGAGCAACTTTGCACTTCCTCATTTCTGCAAAGCATTATTTGGCTTTCTGGAACAAACCCACATGCAATTTTGTACAGTCTTCCAGTCTGTATTGTAAAGCTATGAGACGTGACAACTTAATTGCTTATTGTTAGGGCAGCAATTACAATTCTTGTTTGGGAAGACTCAAATATTGGCTTTGTTAAATGTTTTTTTAGCACATTTCCTATTTGATTTGCCTTTTTGCCTTGCAAATGGGAAAATTAAAAAAAAAAATGAACAAACCACCATCTCTTTGCAGCTCTTATCTATTAAAAAGCCATTATGGTAATGCGTCAGGAGGTTTGGTTTAAACATGTATTTATTCCAAACTATCTTTTCAAGGTGGTCACGTGGAATATTATGAAGATAAGTATTCCACTGATTTTTGAGATGCTCCTGAAGTTTGGAATATGAAATACAGCTTTAATGTTTAAATGCTGAACCCACAGAGTTCTGTTTATAGAGCTGTTTATACACAACAGCCTGACAGCAAATGTTTAATGAGAGAATATTCTGCAGCTGATCTAAATGACCATGGCTCTGCTTATATCAGCAAAGTTCTGTGTTTTTGTATCAGTCAAACAACTGAATGGAATATTTCTTTTCACTGTTGTTGCTTAATTTTTTGTATGTGTAATTGAAAGAAAAATCAAGTAGGATCAAGATGGGAAAATGACACTTCTTGAAGAAAGTTATAATGTCGTATACGTGTCTGGGACTGTTGAATAATGCGTAAGAATATATTTGAGCTTGTTACAAGAATTTTTCTCTGGTGATCCTTAAAAGCAAACTAATCCTTCAAGTACAGGTTGACAGGGAGTTTCCAAATTAGATTTTTGTATGGGTGTGGTGTTTGCAACAAGGGTACTCAGCATCACCTGTTTAGAGCTCTCACACCTTGTTATTCCTTCCCTGTATTCATTATCAATTTGCTTTCCCAGGCTTGCAGCTCTTCTCCCATAATTCTTTTTATTCCTTCATATTCTTTGTAAAAATTGTTAATATCTAGAAAAATAGATACATTCACTCCCATGTCCTTTAAAGCAGCTAGTGAAATGCATTTACTATCTCTATATATGTTTCTGTGTTTTATCTACATTAGAAGTTTCTTTTTCAATCACAATTCAAGGTTGACTAAATATCAGTTCAACAGTCTGACCTGATCCCTGTGCATTTTTGCATCTGGAATGAAAATAAAATGATAGTCAAACAATGCATGCTAGCAATGAACGTCGTTTTTTATGTTGACCCCTTGCTTTCAAAAAGAAATTTAATGTAGTATTCCAGGATTATGCAATGACAGATGGATTCTACTTCAACTAAATATGTAATCTTCGTAGCAAGTGACTGTGAAGTGCAGTATTTTAGCTGAGGAGATGTTTCTCATGTTCTTGATGCTTACCACAAAATGTGTCTTAAAAATCTAAAAGATTTCTTCTCTTGAAAGGCTGAAGATTTGTGCTGCTTACTGCACCAAAGGGCCCGTTTGCAAGAGCAACCTGACGTTTTCCATTTGTGGACCAAGGGAAAATGGTGGCCTCTAACAGATGACTAATTTTTCCTTATTGACAGAGGGGAAGGGTACACTTGTTCAGGAGTTGCACAGCAAAAACTGCTCCCAGCAGTCCTACACATCTGAGCTTTGATCCTGGAAAAGGAAGAACCTCAGGAATGCAAAGGCCACAGGCTCCAGGATGCTTTGACTGTGGTTTCCAGTTGCTTTTGTGTGCAATTGCAAGGCTGGAATTTGTTGTGTAAAACCCTATCAGAGTTTGTATCCTCGAAGCATACTGTGCTATCAAGCTCAAAGGAACAGTTCAGGCTGTTGGCTTGTGGTGAGTCCCTAGAGATATATTTGCAGAGAGTATGTGTGCCCTCATCTTTAACTTCTGTTTCACATGTTTGTGTCTAGCATTTTTAAGTGCAGTAGTTGAAATTTAGTTCTTAAATCCCTAAAAAAGCTACTATTTTTAGGTAACAAAAGCTACTATTTATAGGTAACCAAAGCTACGTGGAACAAAAAATGTTTGAATATTTTTAGAGATTGGCAGCATTTTATATTATGTTTATAATACAAGCAAAAAACATTGAAAAATTCTAAGTTAAGCACTTGCAACTTGCAGTTCTAGCAACATAGACAGCATTTTCTTGCCTTTTGTGAGGCTATTCACCCTTAACACATATTGTGCTTTTCCAGCTTTTGCAGACATGGAAGTGAAGTGATTGCCTTCTGTTTTTCCTTCTCCACTGATTGCACTTACTGTACTTCAGTACCCATTGTATTCTTGTAACCTGGTGAGCAATGGTTGATTTGGTGAAGCGAGGGTATGTATGTGTGTCCATTTACACATGTACAATCACACTTGTTTTTTTGTGGTATCAATCCATTTTATTCTTTAGTACATCATACCTTTTATATTAAATCACTTTGGCAACTGCCAGTTTTTCCATATTGGCTGTACCTATTTTGGTGAAGTAAGCTTTAGCATCAAGAAAGACCTGATCTTAATAGACTTCCATCATTTAATTGGGCTTTCACTTGTGTTTCTCATAATGTGGTTTGTGTCAGTTTTAGATGCTGTCACAACTCAGCTGTTTGCTACTAACAGACATCTCATATATCAACTTTTGTGAGTTTTTATGTCCTTATGGGCAGAAAAATCAGCTACTTTAACTTATGTCACTGTTAAAATGCCTCCTGAGGAGCTTCTGGCCCCTTAGTGTAGCACATCGAGAAGTCTGTATCCTTGCTACTTTGCATCTAATTGTAGTTACAGATCTAAATCTTTCTTAAATCTAACCTGTTTTTCTTGTTGCTTTCCTTTCATAAGAAAATTAGCTCTAATTTTTAATTGAAGATAGATGCTTTGCAAATGTAAAATTTCATTGTTTTGGTAACCTTGGAAATCTGTTTATTGTCTGTGTCATTTAGTCTAATTTTCTTGCCCTTATGGGAAAGCTGCTGCTTCTGCAAGCTGTTTTCGCTATTAAGCGGAGCAAAGTGAAAGGACCTGCCCAGGAGATTCGGTTCCTAGGTGTAAAGTGGCAAGATGGGTGTTGTCACGTCCCAGCAGATGTTATCAACAAAATCACTGCTGCGTCTCCACTCTCTAGCAAGAGAGGCAATCTTTTCTGGGGGTGTAGTGGCCTTTTGAGAGAATGCATGTTCCAAATGATAGTCTTATTCTTAGCGCCCTTTCTCAGGTGATGTGGAAGAAGAATAATTTTTCATGGGGCCCTGAGCAGCAGCAGGCTTTTGAGTGAATCAAACAAGAGGTAACCTGTGCTGTGGCCCTGGGGCCGGTACAGATGGGACAGGGCGTAAAGAACATCCTCTACACTGCTGCTGGAGGGAAAGGTCCCACTTGGAGTCTGTGAGAAAGAACCTCTGGAGAGACCTGAGGCCAACTCCTGGGATTCTGGAGCATGCAGAGGGTCAAAGTGTGCTACTCTCCAACTGGAAAGGAGACCTTAACCACGTGTGAGGGGGTTCGGGCTGCTTCTGAAGTAACTGGCACTGAAACGCAGCTCCTTCTGGCACCTCAACTGCCGATGCTGAGCTGGATGTTTAAAGGAAATATTCCCTCCACCCATCATGCTACTGATGCCACTTGGAGTAAGTGGATTGTGCTGATTACACAATAAGCTTAGATGGGGAATCTCAGTCATCCAGGAGTTCTTAGAAGTCATGGACTGGCCTAAAGGTAAAAAGTTTGGAACATCAGCAGTAGAAGAGGTGTCACATGCTGAAGAGGCCTCACCATACAATGAACTACCAGAGAATGAAAAGAAATATGCCCTGTACACAGAATGGATCGTGTCATACTGTGGGGAAGCATCACAGATGGAAATCTGCTGTGTGGAGCGTCACACGACGAGTTGCAAAGACCACTGAAGGGAAAGGAGCATCAAGCCAATTTGCGGAGGTAAGGGCTGTCCAACTGGCCTTAGATGTTGCGGATCAGGAGAGGTGGCCAATGCTTTATTTTACACTGACTCATGGATGGTAGCAAATGCCTTATGAGGGTGGTTACAGCAGTGGGAGCAAAATAACTGGCAAAGAAGGGGTAAACCTATTTGGGCTGCTGAGCTGTGGAAAGACATTGCTGCCTGAACAAAGAATATTGATATAAAGTTGTGTCACGTGGATGCTCATGTGCCCAAGAGTCAGGCTACTGAAGAACAACAAAATAACCATCAGGTGGATTGAGCTGCCAAAATTGAGGTGGCAGAAATAGACTTGGACTGACAAAACAAGAGCGAATTACTTCTTCCTCAGTGGGCCCATGAGACCTCAGGCCATCGAGGAAGAGAGATGCAATGCTGTTTATCTTGCTCCACCGCTTCTGCTCTGAACAGTTTTTCTTGTATTCTCACAATGCAACATATAAGTGGGCTAGAGACCGAGGGGTGGACTTAACTATGGATGCTATTGCACAGGTTATTTATGACTCTGAAACATTTGCCATAATTAAACAAGCCAAGAGGATGAAACCTCTCTGGGGGGAAGGGCAACGGCAAAAAAAAAATATTGTATCACCTTGCCACAATCTCACAGTGGTGTTATGTGATTACCATGGTGGAGGCAACCACTGAGGTGCTTGAAACACCATATTGGGTCTCGAGAAACAAGTCCTGTGGTGATATGGCACTCCAGAAAGAATTGAATCAGATAATGGGGCTCATTTCAAAAATCTCCTTGTAAGTTCTTGTGCCAGAGATTGTGGCATTGAGTGGATTTATCACATCCCCTATCTTGCGCCAGCTTCTGGTAAAACTGAATGATACACTGGGTTGTTAAAAACCACGTTGAAAGCAATTGGTGGTGGAACATTTAAGCATTGGGGAAAACATTTTGCAGAAGCCACCTGGCTGGTCAACACTAGAGGATCGGTCGGTTGAGATGGAGACGTTGAGGGAGATAAGGTCCTTGTGGTACACATTAAGAGCATGTTGGGAAAAGCTGTTTGGGTCCTTCCAGCTTCTGGAAAGGGTAAACCTCTCCGTGGAACTGTTACTGCACAGGGATCTGGGTGCACTTGATGGGTGATGCAGAAAGATGGGGATGTTTAGTGTGTACCAAGGGAATTTGATGCTGGGAGAGGGCAATCAGTGATTCTATGCATATATATGTATATGGATCTGTGTGTGTAACGCATTTTAATTACTGCTTGTTTGTATATATGTATGGATAATAAGTGATGTGGAATAAGGGGTGGAATGTCACGGTTTTATAGTTTCTGTTATCCGTATTCCACATCATAGCATCATGTGAAGCACAGGAATTAGAGAGTTAGTACTCCAGTTCTGTGGACTGACAACTTTCTGGATACCCAGCTCTCAGAAGAGAAGAATACTCACCCCAGAGAACTCTGCTTTCTGCATTCAGGTATCATATTTATTAAATTATCTTTCCTCCTCAGATTCTTGCCGCTGTTCTGTTTTTAGGCCCAGCTCCCATCTCCCTACCCTTCCCCCTTTGCCAGGGCGTGGATCTGTGGGTCTCCTGCCCTATTTCTCACAGATCTGCACCAAACCAGCCTGTGAATCATCAACATCCCCCCCTTCTCTCCCCTTCTTGGGCCTGTGGACTTCCCTCTATCATGGACACGATAGAGCTAGATAACCCCGTGACACAAGTAAACTCTCAGATGCTTTAAAAAATGGCTTTACATATGATTTTGATCATATCTTAATATTAAATATTGCATATTAAGCACTGTCTGGTGTAGAGAATTTGTGTTTGTGGTTAGAGCTGTTTAAGTGATTGTTGTGTGAAGTTTAATGCTCTCTATCATTTTTAAGTCTTTTTAAAAAGTCTGCATGACCATTGGAGCTGAAAAGACAAGAAAATATCTGCTTCTGGTTTTCCACAAGATCTGCCCTGCCCAGGATTTGGAGATCTTTTATATTATCTTGGTGAAGGAAAACAGCAAGATTGGACTCCATTAGATGGATAATGAGGTGTTGCACTGTGAAATCACTTCTGAAAAATTTAAAGGATGAAAACATTTCAGAAGCCGTAGCTTTTTGTTTAGTGACAATTTGCTCATGGAAAAAGATTCAGAATATCAAATTTTACAGCTGCCATTCAAGCACAGGAAAGGATGTCATCAGTCCAAGATACTGGTATGTCTATACAGTACAGTAAGCCTAACTGTGCAAATATCAGTATGCATATATATAGGCACGTAGGATACACTTAATTTAGATACATAGCAACTAAGGAGGAGCATAAGTCATTGCAAGTAGCTGCCTCAAAATGTCAACTTTGTGGTCAGCATGTTTGAAATTAATAAACAGTAAATTATGGAATCCTTAGAGTTGTAAGGGACCTTTAAGGTCAGCTGGTCCAACTCCCCTACAAGGAGATCTTGCAACAGCAGTATTCCACTGTACAACTTCAGCCCTCCTAGTCTCAAAAATAGATGTACAGTGGCATTTTTAGAAGTCATAAATACTGTAACCTTGTAACCTTGTACCCAATAATTTGTTATTTAATTAGAACTCCTCGTCCTGAATTAGAGAACCAACATGGAAAAAATGTGCCAGTAAATTATTGTGAATAAGGAATGACTACTCGCTGTGTTGTAATGCAAGAACAACTGACCACAGAGCAAAGTTATCTGAGCAAAGATTTAAAAGAAAGTGATTTTTCAAAGAAAGCCTAGTCTTCAATTTGAAATTTCCTAGTAGGTGTTGTGTAGGTGAGTATTGTAAATAAGCACTCTGAGACAGATCATTGGCAGGCTTCGTTTACTGTGCTTTGTGTATTGAACATTTGATACTCATTAAGACGGTAGTGTAAATTTTGTGTCTGGATCACTTTTATTGGGCATTCAGAAAGAGCCTCTGGTTGATATTATAATGAGTATTTCAAGAAGGCGTGTGCAATTCAAACTGTGCCTATGAACTATTACCCTACTTGTTCCTATAGCATCTGCTGTGGCCTCTTTCCTGTTTCTTACTGAAGAGTCAAGTTGCTTCAAGGGGGAAAAGCTGTCTGTGGACATTTGTTGAGGCAGGTGGAGAGCTCTTTAGCCTTAGTGGCTTTTCTCCCTACTTTGAGACAGTGGTCCAAATGTAAGCTTGTGTTCGCTTGTGATGGCAAGCCTCAGTTACTGGACAAACTCCAGAAAGCATGAAAAAGATTACTAAGAAAAGCAGGAGAAACAAACTTTTAATTAAGATATGGAATACAAGCAGGAATTCAATAAGTGCGGATGACAAATCGAGCCAAGAGGAAGCAGTAATAAAATTATAAAGCAGTGAAGCTGAAGTGAGAGTTTCTCATTATCCAGGTTGAGAGAACTTTCAGCAAATTGATCAGAATCAGGCATATTGCATCAATTAGACTTGTCTTGTAGGGACTGCATCATGCTGGAGGTTAATGGGATGGAATAGTAACTGAGGATCTGCCCCTTACAGCCCCACACAGCCCTGCATCGGATGCCAGAGGAAGCGCGACCTCCGCTGCTGCTGTCTGACAGCAGTGCAGTGTTCCCCTCCATGGCTGCAATGTGTCATCAGCACGTTATTTTCCTAGTTACTCAGGTAATAATTCCATTATTTCTCCTCGTGTCTGTTCTCAAAAACAGGACCTGGCACAACTTCCCATTATTTTGTAGATTTCCTTTAGATATCTGTAGGCACTCAGGCTGGCTAATAATGTTTAAACCTATTAAGGGAGGGACACAGAACAAAAGCAAAACAGTATTTTAGTCCTTTTATGACTGCTTGAATGACAATCAGAAGCAAATTTAATTTTTTTAGAAAAAATATTCTTAAATGCAACTGAAAACATTAATTCAAATTCTAATAATATTTGTCAGTTTTATAATGGGATTAAATGCTTTACTTGCTTACCCAGAAAAGAATAATTCCAGTTAAATTAAGTATATTCCTTAACAAAGATTGCACAACTAATCCATATACCACTGGTCTATTCATTAGGCAGCATTTCATGTCATTCCTGTGACATCAGAAACAAAGCAGTGACCAAGGAAGAAAATAATTCTACTTCTGCTGCTATGTTCCAAAATGCTGCTTATTTAAACTCACAAAAGGCTATGCGTGATAAACGCATCATTCACCATTCATTTGCTACCCTGCCATTTCTTTCAACTCCGAATCTGCATCTTCTGCATGAATTCTGTATTCTGGGGAAGCTGTCTGGCAGATTTTTAAATGTCTCGAGCCGCAAACAATTCCTACAGACAGCAAATATCAAAGAATTGTTTGAGTTCAGAGGGATCCTTAAGGGCCATTTGGTCCAACTCCCTTGCAATGGACAAGGACACCTACAGCTACATCAGGTGCTCAGGGCCCCATCCAACCTGACATTGAGCATCTCCAGGGTTGGTGCATCCAACGTATGTGTGTATGTACCATACTGATGGCAGTACAGAGAATCTTTCTACTTCTATTTCTTTCTAAAATTTCCAGAATCTTTTCTACCATTTTAAAATAAGATTTAGAAGCACATCCTTCAGATGGAGGAGTTTCACAGGAGGTGGCCTGGTGTGGATGAGCAGCTTGAGGTACATCAAGCTGCAGCTACAGCAGCATGCTAATCCAGCCATTAACCACAGGGCTGAGATAGGACAGTCCTGACAGGAGGCTCAGGTGGACAAAACACATGTGCCTAAGCAGTTCCTGGGTGGTGGACAGAAATGTGGGAGGAGGAGAATATAATTCCCTGGGAAAGGGCCTTAAGGATGCTCTCAAAACAGCTTGACAGGCAGAAGCTGGTTGATTTTAAATAGCAGCAGCATGCTTTGGTCAGGTAATGATAAAAATGTCTCTCCTAGTAGCAGAGATGTCTTAAGCTTTTCAGTAAAGCACAGCAGTAAAGCTGGCCTGTTCCTGAAGCCATGCCTCTGACCCCACTGCTGACAGAACCCTGGCGTTGTGAAGAAGCCAGAGCAGCTTGTATGATCACTGTCTGTTCCTGAGCTGGATCTTAACAGCATTTGTTAATTAGCCTGGAGCAAAATAAGACCTGAGTGATGTGCTGTATATTTATGTAAAGTGTGCTTGTAAAGCATCTTCATGTTGTCTCTGTACTTAGTGATGACCCTGTTACTTGCAACTCTCTCTAAAGCTCTTGCTTGCTCTGCTGATCTCACTACTCTCTTCTCTGCTTACCTCTGAAATAGTTCAGCAGGAAGGATCTTCTGCAAAGGAGAGGTGTTCCTTGGGCTGGGTGACAAGAACTAAACCTTCCTGGGACAGCTTGTCCTCCCATGCTTTAGTCAGGTAAATTCTCAGTGAAACTGGGTTAAGAAGCAAACAATTATTAGTAATTCAAACATGTTTAATCTCCAGTTATGTAAACTCTATTGGAAACGATTTACTGAATAACATGGGTTAACAATCAATCGGGCTGTGGCCCAAGTGTATATTACTTATAGCCAGAGGTCTGGTTATTCAGAAAAATAACTTGCATATTTTCAATTATTAGTCAGTCTTGCCCTCTCAGAAGAATTATTTTAATTATTCTCCACAAAATACAGGCATTGTGGAATGTACACCCATCTTCTGCCAGAGCTGTTTTACAAACCTCATGTGTTTTCTGCCCTCACCCCCACCTCCATTATGAAACAAGGCCAATAGTTTTTAGCTGTCATATCATCACTAGAATTAATCAGTAGAATTACTTGTGTATTATCTATTTGAATATCATTAGAATACACGTACACATATATGGGCAGCCTCTGGTATTGCTGTCAGCATTCATTTAGAGTTATGTCACACATGCTTGAGCATGCAGTAGCAAGGAAGGGGCATGTAAATATGCACAGAGGAATAATCACAGGAGGGCTAATGGTAATATCAATCATTAAAGTGGAAATAATATGAGATATTTAACAAATGACTTTGTTATATTGTTTAGAAAATCTGATGCAATCTGAATTGTTACACAAAACCACAAAAATTTAAACCTGTAACACTGCAGCTATGAGCAAGTCTGTTTAGCACGTCCTGTTTAATAGAATATAATTTATTTTTTACGACGTTAAGGGAGTGTAACAGCAGGGAGACCAGCGCAATGGGAAAACGTTACAAAACAAAGAAGAGAAATGCTCACCCGTCTCCAAGGATCTGGGCTCACAGTTAGAAACTCCACAGAGAAGGGATCACCAACAAGAAACCCTTCCAGAGTGGCAGTCAGCCCTTAAATGAGGTCTTAAGAGAGGTGAAGCCAAGCTACACCCTTCCCAGTCACTCAGGTGAATTGCTTTCATCTATGCTCCCAGGGCTGAGCAGGTCTTGTCTCCAATGGTTCAGGCCATGACTCAGCAGTTCCCATGCACTCCATCCCTTAAAGCCATGAGCCAGTGGTTAGCCCAGCTGGAGGGTTAGCCCTAATACATGGATCCAGTGCACCACAACACTTGTACAATTGCCCATTGTGGTTCAGGTTGACATAATGCAAGATGACCCATGATTGGTTCGTGGTTGAAGTCCATGTTCTTTCATGGACCAGTGCTCGATGGTGTTACTGGAGGCATACAGTAGCTTGGGACCACGAAAGGCTCAGCTCACATTCCATCAGTCCCATATATTCCTTCATCAGGTATCATGTTGATCTAACAGTGATAGTGGAGCGTCTTTATGTCATGTTGTTCTTTCTGATGTTCCTGTGGGCTCAAAGAGACTCATGGAGAGTATATAGATGTTTCCAGAAGTGGAAGGTTCACCTTCCATGGCAAGATACAGGCCATGTTCCTGTCCTGGGTTTACACTTCTGCTTGCGCTGGGGCATGTCCCAGCTGTCTATACCATATCCTTTGGCCTGATATCTGAGGCTGCATACCTGTATTGGGTACCAAAGGGGGAGTCCAGATTTGCCACAGGGATGTGATTAAGGTTCCCTTAGTGATGAAAACCGGAGTGTTGACAGTGATATCTGCAAGCCATGTACCTATTACTTACTAGGGGAGTTACTGATCCCCCAACCTCCAGTAATCTTCCCCAAGGTGCAAGGAGGCCACACCACTTCAGTCCTACTTGCACCTTCCAAAGCCATTCTATTTTATGGGCTCTCTGGGCTCTAGGTTTTCTGGGGCAAGGAACAGTAGATTATTTTCATTGCCTTTTGGTGTCTTACCTGACAACCCGTGCCAGTAATTTGGATCCTCAGCAGGGAGGCCCATGTTGTCTGTAGCATCTTCATGGCACTGGATTTGCTGTCTCCAGGCCTTTCGTTCAGGTCCAGCAGGGTTTCACAGAGACCCTTTGGCCGCCTCTGCAGGAATGAGAGCCTGTCTTCAGGGCAGCCTTAAGAATACTGTTACAGCATTCAGAAAGGTCTGCCCCCATCAGATTATATGGCAGATGGAATCGCCATTCAGTGTTGTTTTCTTCTGTCCAGCACTGTACTATTGTACCAATAAAATGAGTTCCTTGGTCACACTCAGTGGCTTGAAGTATTCTGTAGGCAGCCATCATCTTGCTTTTTTTTAGATTCCCATTAACCTCCAGCATGATGCAGTCCCTACAAGGCAAGTCTAAAAAAACAGCCTTGATGGTGTATGTCTGGTTCACTCTAGGCACTGGATAGGCTTGCAAACAAACTGTGGTCAATAGCTGTTTTCTTCATGATTTTATTTCTATCTCTTATTTTAATTTGATTTATGGTGTGGAGAATCAGATACAAATTTATGAACTGGTGAGTTGATGGGGTCATCAGTGAAACTGTGTGGGGCAGCTTTTGCTTTCTTCCATTGCAGGGATGGGCAAGTTCTGCATTAAAAAAATGCATTGCAAGATGTGTTCTGTCCATTGTAAAAACTTATAGCCAGGTAAGTAACACAGGAGTTGTAGCGCGGGGTATGAAAAGAGAAGCAGAATTTAGTAGCTAACAGAGCTGTTGTTCTGTTTCAATTTGTGCACCTTCCATCAACATCCCAAACCAGATCCCTCCCCTGTTGGCTAGCAATACTGAAGTGACACGGAAAGCCAAGTATTTTATTGCCATCACACAGTTTTTCACTTCCAAAAATGTTTATTTTCAAGGATGAATAACTCCAGAATATTTTGTACAGCTTTTTCATTAAGGCGAAATGTCAGGGCAGAGTATTATTTAAACCAAACACAAAGAAGAAAATTCCTGGAACACTACACTCTTTTCTAACATGATATAAAACAGCATTTGCTTGATGTAACTTAAATTGTATAGAAAGCTTGCTTTGCCAAAGTTATTTATAGAGCTTGATATTATTATTGTCTTTGGCTTTGTATTTAAAGCTTAGTTCACTGACATCATCACCACATGGTCCTTTGATGAAAATACTTCAAGGTCTTCCAACTGCATAGTCTTAAAGCTTTTTACCTTTGTATGTGTCATGGTCTCACAAAGCTGAATTTCATTTAGACGTTTGTTTCAAAAACATTTTCCTGGAATTCCTAAGACAGTAATTTAAAGTGAATTTTCATTTGTTGTTTCTTTCTTTCTGCTTTCAGTTCCAAGCAAATAGAGGTGTGTATCTACTGTGAACATTACAGTCGGTGAGTTTTTATAACTTAAGAGCAACGACTTTTCTTGTGTGCTCATCGTATGTTTTCAAACATGAACATCAACCTGAGAAACATCAAACAAGCAGAAAGTACTCAGGCCCTACCATGGCCATCAGGACTCTTAAAAACAGAGAACTATTTGCAGCTTTTTGCCAAGGAAACATCACACTGATAATTTGGATGGTTTTGCACAGTGAAAAACAAAACAAAACCTTTGTCTTTCTCCAGTAGAATTCGTAGCCTTTCTTTTTTTTTTTCAGTCTCTTTCTGTTTGCTAGTTGTTACAAGCACAAATCAGTATAGTCAGATAAATACTTTGGTCCACGTTCCTAAGTAGACTGCTTCTGTGGCACTGAAGATAGGGTTCTCTGCCAAACTCTAACGTAATTCCTTCTCTATTCAGTCAGTAAATTGGTGTGATTATATAAAGTATGGGTTCTCCATCAAGTAAGAAAAAAGCTGAAGATTTGTTGAGTTTCAACCACGGAGTTTCAGCCCCACACTTTGCAGTGTTTTGAGTTCAGCTCACTGGCTGGGATTCTCGTAAATATTGTGATTGGGAAAATGAATGTCTGAACAGTGCTCAGTTGTAGAACTGCAGAGTAATTTACTACCAGCATCAGTTAGTTACTTCTGGGAAGGTGCCATGTTGTTAGGAGGGGCACATGGGTTGGAACAGACTGGCCCCACGTGAGGGGGAGCAAGGTTGTCATTTAGTGAAGTGAAAAAGACAGCAGCTTTGGCTTGTAACTGTAGTGATCGGAAGACAGGTCTGTTAAACAAAGCTGGCCTTGGGGATGAGTAAATTGTTCATTAAGGCACCTGGTGCTGACACTCCCAAGATCAGTGCTGCTGCAGATGTAGATAAGGAATGGCTGGGGGGTGCAGCTTTGTAAGCTCCTTGTAGGTTTGCTTTTGCAAGCATTAATTTGTTTGTTATTTCTTTTCATATTTAGGCACAGACCTGTGTTTAGTTAACCTCAAAGAGTACAATAACAATTCCCACTTTTGTGGTGTGAGGATTGGGGCTAGGCAGCACCACCATTAGAAGTGAGGGATCCTCATCACCGTATCACCCTGCGCATATCTCCTGCCTGGATGGTGGACCAATGGTGAGCAAAGCTTTTCTTGTTTTAATTGATGCTTACGGCATAAAGACTGGGGAGGATGAAGGGAGTGTTGAAAACTGCAGTAAAAGATCCTAGTTTTGTCAAGTGAGAGTGAGTTTGGTTTGAGGCAGCTCAAAGCTCCAGTTGAACTCCAGGCTTATTTCTGTAGGTGGCAGTGAGTTGTCTCACATGCAGACCTAACTTTGGAGGGGATAAGGTCAAAGTTCTATTCTCTTGATGACAGTCAAACCTCTCCTTGTCTTTGAAGACTGCTTCAAAAGAAATGCCTTTTTTGCTTACTTGGCCCATGACATCAGAGGCAAATGTTACTGGTATGGCAGTAGAGGTTGAACCTACCTGCCAATATTCTGTTACATGTTATTTCTGCATGACAGATGGCACCACAGGGGCAGTGTGACAAAATGATATCTGACATGGAGGAGTGATGGAGCAAAGGTGTGGCATTGAATTCCACCATGCAGATATAATGGCATCCATTGATGTTTTCTGAATGTTGATGGAGACCAAAAAGTGAACGTGAGCGCAGTGAGGCTGTGGATGGTGAATTTCAGCAATGACACCTTCATAGGAGCTGTGAAAAAGTGGGTTCTCTTTGCTGGTGCGGATTTTCACAGTCATGGCATGCAGGCTCTGCTTACTTGCTGGCAAAAATGCATAGCTAATGATTGTGGCTATGGTCAAAAACAGCATCTCATAGTTGAGGATTTACTCTATCAGTATTATTGTGCTTTTTATATCTGTTGTATTTTTCATGGAAACAAATAGGAGGCATTGCTTTTGGAGCAACTTACGTACCTTTGCTGAGTACAAGCCTTGGCTCATGTTGCCTCCATTCTGTGTGGGCCCAGAAGCCAAATGGCCTAGGCTCTAAATGCTTCTCACTTCAAGGGGGATTGAGGCAAAACTCTCTTGTGGGTGCCCCTCACATCTCCTCGGTGTGCTGACCTCAGGTTTGTACTCCCTCACCAGGAAAGGTCAGAAACAAACTAGGAAAATGGCTCAAGCCTCCTCCTGCTTAGGACCCATATGCTAACAAGTAGAGTGAAAAACTGAAGAGTAAAAACAGGGACAGACAATGGGTTCTACTTGCCCCCCAGCAGAATGGCTGTACCAGGGCCCAAACATATCAACAGCTTCCAGATATAGGGGAGCCTTATACCTGGTTAAATTAACTTGTCTTTAATATAAATAAGCTGAAACAGATGGATGCATGATTTTCATGGGACAGTAAGGTAAATGACGCCAGCAAAAATTTGCTTGAGCTATCTCGTAGTACAATCATTCAGAAGTGGGTGAACAACTTGAAAAGATGAAATCAGGTGAAAATGAAAGTAAGTGTCTTTGTAAACTTGAGTTTGCAGCATCTAAATCTCTATACCAAAGCTTAGTATCCTGGTCCTCTGGTGCTGTCGGATGCTCTGACTGATAACCAGGCAAGGCTTAAGTCTCTACGTTTCCAAATAGGTGAAAAATCAGGAGAAAAAGGAATAACCCCGAGTGAAATGGAACAACTGTTTTTAGAAATAGATAAGTAGAAGCAGAAGGAGGCATTTTAAAGACTTGTTACGATGGAAGTTTGTTTGTCACTAAAGGGAAGAGTGCAGAGCAGCTTCAAGCTAACACTCAGCAGTGATAATTCATGACCCAGGAACAGCTCGTGACATCTCTTCACAGACAGACTCCTTGTAGAACTGCTTATGGCAGCAGGACTCTGCCCAATGGATTGTTCACTAATTTTATTTAAGCACATGCTTGTGTCTAATTTGCTTCAATAGGTACAATAAAAATTCCCCAACGCTTCATAAGGACAGTGGAATTTCCTCAATTGTGTTTGAGAGTTTTAGGTTTCTCCTTTGTGAAGAGATGTGATTTCTTAGATTTCAGTCTCCTGTTATGAGATATTGAGATGAAATTAAGTCTGATGCTTAACTAAAGTTATATTAAGAAGGTCATAAATTGGACTTGTACAAATGTTTTTGCAGGTCTGCTTTTGCTCTAAGAACATTTGTAATGAAATAGCAGGGCAGTTTCTCCCACACAACGAGTGAAAGCAAATTCCTTATGAAATTAATGTGGAAATAATTCAACAGTACCATTCTAAGTGTTTATCTAAAAGGCTGATCCCTATCTGTTTAAATTCCGTAGTGTTACACAAAAAGATTTGCATCTTTGCAGTTTTATTTATGATGCTGTAATGGGAGCACACAAATAACAGTATGATATGCTGTGAACTCTTTCGTCTCTCGAGCAGCAGATAAGTAAGTGGGACCTGTGGTGGATCAACCAGGTGCCAAGCAGGACACGTGGCGCTTTGGAGAGGAGATTGTTTCTCAAACAGGTTACTGCTTTGATCATTTCTAGTGGAAAATCTGTGCCTACAAATATCATTTCATTCAGTCAGTGAATATCTTTGACCCTAAAGGTTGTTCTCTATACGTTGCCTAGAATTTTCTGTTTAGGAAGTAGTAAAAAATACTTTCAAAGTAATTCCTCACTTGTCCTCTTTGGCGCATCTTTCTGTATAGTATCTCAGACTGGAATGATGTGGAGCTGAGCTTAAAATGGCACGGTGATGCATAAATTTCTTAGTTCCAAATTTCCAAGTTGTTGGAATCCCTTCTTCAGCTCTATAGACACGTCATGCATGACTGTTCCAAGAGATTAGCTAGACCCTTTCTACTTGGAAGGCTGAAGACTAGAAACAAAAGATATCTCCCACCATTGGTATGATTTATCTTTGGTTTCAAATGTTGCTTGGAGAATGGCCACTTAATCAACTGCTTGTGCTACTTACTACACTAAAGAACTTGGTGTTCAATTTTACTGTGTGTGACAAGGACAAGCAATTTGTGTAATCATTACACTGGGAATGCTACTAGGCAGGTAAATTTGCAAGAGAATATTACAGTCATGCCTACATTCAGGCACACGTGTAGCGCTTCAGTCTACAGACACAGGCTGTTGATTTTCAGAGGAAATAAAATGCAGGGCAATTTCTCGATGTCAAACATGGCAGCCTTTCATGACAGATTACTCACTCACATTTATAGTATAATATAATGCAGTACAGAAAGCAGAATGTAACCAAAAGCTTTTCTTCTGTGATCTGTTATCTGATAGGCATGCTGGGATCATAGAGGGAAAGAAGAACGATGACAAAAAATAGGTGTGCTGCAGAGAGCTTGAATAATAGACACAAAGTGTTAATCATGCTCAATATCATGCTGAAAAATCAAACTGTACCAAAGGACTGACAAGAAGGTACAATCACAAATTGGTAACTTCACTTGAATTTATAGTCCAATATTTGCAAGCATCAGATTTGCATGCAAATCTGGAAAGATCTAGGAAACTAAAGCTTTGTCAGAGACCAAGAGCAGTGACCATCAATGTCTGTGTAACAGAGGATTATGCTATCTGTGATGCATTCTCGTCTGTTGCTAAAAACTGTAAAAAAAAATAATTCAACTTCATAAAAGGGACATTACATTAACTGAATACTGCTGTATTTTGGTAGGTAAGGAAAAGCTCTGTGTTTAAGGATAAATTTTTCTTCTTAAAGCTAGAGGGGGCATATTTTAGCACCTTGACCATCATTTTCAGTTCCTATCTTGTCATTAGAAAACCTTCTTGAACCTTCTGTCCTGCCTTTCCTCTTGCAGTCTAAATTCATCATGCTATTTTTTGTTGCTGTTGTTGTTGTTACCTTGCCTTTTTAACCACTTAGTTCCATCCCAGGTTATACTTAATCCCCTCCAGTACTGAGCTTCTGGCTTTCTGCTGCAAACGTCAGGAAACAGAGAACATAAAGATACTGTGAATGCAGAGTAGAGTTGTTTCATAAGGTAGATCTCATGAGACAAATTCCCAGAGTTCTGTGAGACACTTCTCTATTCCTTAAAAACCTGCTTTTTATTAATATTTTCAGTTGTTGCATGCACATTTCCAAACAGGGAATACACTACAGGGCAAGCTGTTTGCAACTTTGTAAGCTGACTCACCAGGTTTCTGTGTTAACCAACGTAAGACTTCTATTATGTGCAAAATTGACTTGGATTCTTTGCTTTGAATACCTTTAAAAATGCTGGCATTCACCCATACCATCCATTTGCTTATGTGTTCCCATACAACGGAATGATCTTTCTGAATAAAATTCATTTCCTCAATTAAACTGTTGACTCGTCAATCCGACTTCATGTTCAAATTATGAATATACTCAGCCTATGTTTTATGTCTTAATTTTAGGAGTGTGATCTGGATTTAGGCTATGCTGAAGTCTCAACCAGCTTCAACAGCATAATTCAGCTAGAACAAAACAAAACTGAGAGGCGTAAGTACGTTTGTTCTATAGAAAACTGTGAGCATAAGTAGTTCAGAGGTGAGGCTTTCCCAAAACACTTCTACAATCGCAAAAACCTCTATGGTACTTTTTTCCATATTGACTACTTCTATAGACTTTCAAAAGTGCACACTACTTAGAACTGGAAATGGGGACTCTGTGTGTTTTGTTTCTTGACAGAAGTCAAGTTTCTTGACAAAACCATCAACAGTTTTGTAGGTTGTTTTTTCTTTTTCGCCGCTCGTAGCTACTTCTGCAATTGTTGACCTCAATTGACCAACAGCAAATCAGTTAATTAAAGATTAGTGTTGTTAGAGTTTTTGGATGACATATTTTCTCCTCCGAAGCCAAATTAAAGCGCTGGCAAATATTAGAGATCCACACTGAGCTGGGCAGCTAAAGGGAAGTGAGAAATATGAGGGCCTCTTTACTGATGTTACGAGCTCATGAGTGTCTGCAATCAGCACCTTTTACCTTTTCTTTACTGAAGAGCGGTGCACATGGGTCAAAAAAGGCAAAATTCAGGAAGCAATATAATGCTGACAGCAAAGTGGAGTTCAGTGTAATTTCACGAGGTAATTTGAAGATTTTTTGTTGGAGAGTCCAGAAAGCTTATGAAGAGGCAGATGGAGCAGTTTGTGAGAAGCAAGAGAAAGGAGGACACCAAACAAAAGAGGGGAAAGCAAGAGAGCCGAAGAGAGGAAGGAACAGTAGCTGTGCAACAGGAAAGAAGAGATGTGAGATTGGGTGAGGAAGTCAGAGGAGGGCGAGAGTAACTGGAGCCAACAAAGAGATGAAAGGACAATAATTAGAGTACAAAGTAGAAAATTAGGAATGGAAGGTAAGAAAAAGGTGTCAGGCTATAGGGGGAAAGAGCCTTATAAAGAGAAAGAAGAGGGAGAAGATGAGAAAGGAGAAGATGATGAGCAGAAGGGATGAGGGAACTGTGCAGGAGCATTTAGAAGCACTGGTGGGATGCTTCTTTGGGCTTAATGCTGTAAAGTGGTGCACGTGTGCATGAGTGTTCGACAGCATGGGTGAAACAATCAGCATAAACCTGCTTGCTCTGTAAGTCTGCTTAAGTTCTCTACCTGCTGTTAGAATCAGAGAAAAAGGCCCATCTAGATGGGAAATCACATTCAGAGTTGCAGGTGCAAGTGCCAAAAGACACAGCTTTGTCCTTGCCACCCTCGTACCACCTTGGGCTGCCAGGGATGTCCAGTATCTGAGACAGGACACCTCCCAGTCAGCTTATGTTCATTCTCTGAAGTAATCCAGCAAAGAAGAAAGGGGGGAAAAAAATAAAGAGGGGAAAAGCAGAACAAGGAAAAAAAAAAGAAAGAAAGAAAAAAAAAAAACTACTTAGAAATGATGTGAAAAAGAATCATCTTTGCAGTCTTAGCAGTTTTTATATTATTTAATTAGAACAGCAGTATTTCCGTAGATGGAGACAGAAATGGACACTGCACTGGGAATGGGCAGATGTGAGCATTTCTCAGAGCATCCATTTAGAGGAGGTCAAGCTTCAGAGGGCCCCACGTCTCCCAGTGGTTTCAGTGTTTCTCCAGGCTGGTGGTTACCACAGTGACATAACTGTTTTGTTGTGCTTCACCAGGGAAATAAACGATTTGCTCTCAGCAAATCCCAGTCATCCACCTTCTATTCTTTTCTGTGTCAACATCTCCTCTTTCCTTTCATGATTTGAAAGTTGTTTTGAATTAAATTGAAGAAATAAATATTTCATGAATATTTTAATTCAATCTCGCAGAGGAGTACATAAAGCAAGAACCCCCCAAATGCATCTCAGGTTACATCTTCAGGTTAGATTTGAAGAACATGAGGCAGATTCACGATTGAGAATTCTAATGGCTTCCTTCACAGCAGTTAGTTTTCAGACTTGTATTATACAAAGTAGAGGCTTGTGCTGTTAAGGTTAGTGAGGCATCTCAAGGATGAACAAAACTTTTATTCTCTTATCCCACTGCATCTTTCCCTCCTTTCTTTTTTAATCCTTTTTTTTCCAAGCCTTTGTTTTCTACAGTATCCTTTTTAATTTTTAACCTCTATAGCTGAGAGCTGTCATAAAGCATTATTAAAACTCAATACACTAAGCAAGCAAGCAAGTACTATTTTACAACCTTAAAACTATCTGTGTGGGGCAGAACGATGGGCTCAATCACAGGCAAGTCAAGCAAGAGATGTTTCCCCATTTCTTCTGCTTTTGTTACCCTTTGCTTAGCCTACAGAATTTTTACTTCTGGTAGTTCCCTAATAACACTGTTGTTGCTGTTACAACTATTTATGTGCATGCTCATACTTTGAAGGAAAATTAGTCTAAAGGGGACTTCTGTCAAAGAGATTGTATCAACTGAAGGATTATTTTCCTTTACGCTTTGAAATGATTTTGGCTTTGAAATAGTCTTATCGTTATACTAAAGATAATGGTGCAGACTAAGTCACAGTCTGATTAGTCAAAGCAACTTAATTAATCTTCAAATGCATATTCTCACATCCTGTGAATCTCAGCACAATTCAAGCATTAGTCATTGCCGTTCAGTAAAAGGCAAAATGAACAACATGAAGATTTGAGAAGTACGAAAAGTGCTTTGAAAGTGCATCATTTGTGGGATCGGAAAGGTTGAGCCTCCAGATGACCAACTTCACAGCAGCGTAACGTGGCTGCAGCTGACAGCTGCTCTGTGGCTGATATGAGTGGGCACAGTCCAAACCCAGCTGGCAGGTTTCTGTGCAGTAATTCCCACCCCGTGGCACACAGCTGTACTTTACTTGGGTAATTCAGTCTGCAGGCCAGAGATCAATCTAAGAACAGTGGGGTGAGAGCATCGGCAGGACAATGTGTGCTGCCTTCCCTATGATGCTTTTATTTTCTTTTTTTGGAGCTTAAAAACGCACAAAAATTTGCCAGGGAACTCTGAGATAGATATCTCTCTTCCTTCCCCTTTAGCTGAGTATATTAAGTTCAATGTCCATTACATAAATATCCATTTGCCCTAAACAGGGGCATTTCTACCAATGCTTGCTCTTTTGTTTCGTCTTAGAATCTTTTTACTGTTTTAAAGAGATACCATCCATTCACTATTAAAAAAAAAAACACACACACAATTTTATAAGCTCTGCATTTGAGTAAACCATCCCTTAAAAAGAAAGCGTCTGTGTTAAGAAGCTGATTGCAAAATATTTTTTCTTCCCTAGCATCTTTAAAAATGTAGCAGTTTTTTGTGATGGCTTTAACTAGCTAACAGGAATTGTTCACGCTCAGCTTTGATGGACTCCTTTCTAGGAAGGCAGATTGCAACTAGGACATATTTTAGCGAAACTGCGTCATAGAATTTTCCATAGCAACATGCCATGACGTTGCTGCTGTGGAATTATGATCACTGTGCCTCACAGACAAAACGAAACAACACTGAGCAGATTGGTTTTTTCACAAACGTACTCTGTTTCGTAGTTTATTTTTTCCTATGTGCAGCTCTTTCTATAGCAAACATTCTGCTGCAAGTGTTTGGCATTGGTGGAAGATGTGCGCGTTCTGAGAGCCATGAAGTTATGTGAATCGACTGTTAATGCAGCCGTTCCTTTAATACATGAAATCAGCTTTCTCTATCAGCAACTAGAAAAGAGTTAATTAGATTCTAATCCACCTGTAGAGCTAATAAAGCCCTTAGTTGTTGCACCTGACAAAAGACCTGCTGCTTCTCAAGCCTTTATAAAGCATTGCTGCAGTTAGGAAGGTTGCTCTTATTTGCTGATGCCTATTGAAACAAGTTGCATGGCCTTATCTCCTGGATGTTTTACATGTCTTCTGATGATTGGTAGGTGTTGTTTCAAAGGTATTTTTAATGATCTTAAGTTATATGGTGCTATTTCTTTGGCTGAATTCTAAGACTGAGTTATTTCAGCCATGGTATCCCTTTTAAAGTTATTAGGAACTTTCTATGTTTTGTTTCTGTATTACAAACAGGCTGAAAAAAGTTTTTGAAGTCTAGAATCTTATGATTATCATGAAGAGAAATCAGGTCTATCAGCATACAAATTGAGATTGCATTAATACTGAAAGCATTTTCAAGTCTGAAAGGAGCCATTGCTACATAGTTATTATGTTTCATTAGAAATAAAGAGAAACATGGAAATAAAATGCAGCAAATACATATCTCTTTGCAGAATAGAACTCGGTTGAAAATCAGTCGTTGCAGAACACGGTTTTAAAGCACCTTTGGTTGGAAGGATACAGTGGAAGAAAAATGTGACTCTAAGAGGACAGCCTTCGGGAAGGGTGAGCTAAACAAGAGTCAGCAATAAGTTTTCAGTGTCAATTTGTGCCACTTATGTAACGGGATATATTTGTTGTGCAATTTGTTGTGTAATTTCTGCAGAATGTTCTTTCACATCTAGACTGTTCTGAAGATCTAGGGAAGACAGCTAATAGGCTTCATCACTATGAGTTGTTGCAATTCTTTTGAATATAGAGCTTTCTTTTCCTTTCTTTGCCTTCTGTCTAATCAGGTATTTTCAAACATAAGTAGTAGAAAACCCGGATTTTAAAATCCAGCAGCTTTTGTGAGTAGTAAGATTAAAATTACTGTGTGATTTCAGCAGATGAACAAGGAATATAAAAAAAAAATCCTGGATGTGACTTGAAAGCACTTTAGGAATCAGGTTATGTAAAGATTGTAGATAGATTTCTTCCCTTCCTTTCTGAAATACCTGGTGCTGTCTCCAGAGGAGCAAGTAAGAACTTGTAACATAGGTTTATATCAATTTTTATGATTGTATAGTATGGTCACAGTTTCTTCTTCAACGGAACTTATCCCACTTGGTAAATGTTGTTCTCCAACTGCTCGAAATCTCTTCTTGTGCACGTGTTCAGCCTTGAAAATTGAGCTGAGGATAAGTCACGAAACACCCAAGCCTTTGCATCTTTCTCAGTCTGCTTTGCATCAGGTGTAGTTGAATTCCTTCCATGTGGATCCTTTCATGGCACAAGAATCAAATCTCTGAGATGCAGAAGGAACTCGGGTTGGAACGGTGTGTGGGGAACTGTTTGAAGGTGACCTCCAAATTTACAAAGGGATTTTCACTGCGGCAACAGTAAAGAAGTGCAGCTCTCTGTTAGGGATCCATTAAGAATGCATAGCACAGAGATTCTCCACGTCTGGCAGAATTGTACCTTAGTTTATGATTATTTTTATTTTATTTTTATTTTTTGTTGATGGTAGTTTGGGTATTTATTTAAAAATCAAGAACTGAATGCTTCTTAAACTGTTGGATTTGACTTCAGAAGCCAATGTGATCAATCCAGTTTGGCAACTCGGAGGATGTACACGTGAGCTTTTCTAGGAATCAAAGTGCAAGAAAATGTTTGTTCTGCATTTGAGTTCTCCTTCTATTAACCTTACAGTGCCATCCCACAGCCCTTGACTGGAAGGTGTTCTAGCTGTTGTTTGCCCTTAGTTTTGGGGAAATGACTGATCACAGTGAAGAAGACAGCAAAGTTTTGGTTTAGGATAAAGAAATGACTTTAGCCTAGAAGAGACTGTCGTGGGAGTTTCTTTAGACAGTTTTCATTTATTACTGTGGTTTTTGTTGTACAATGCAGAACAACTTCTGTAACAGTGAATTGCTGTGTTTAAACTGAGAGACCACCTAGTTTCATCTACACAATCCTGCCAAAGTGGAAGCTGGCACAGTCTGTATAAAATTGATAGGGAATTTTAGGAAATAGATAAAGAGCAAATACGAAAAACTGGAAATTGTATTTGCGTATTTATAAAAACATTTGTTCTCACCAATGCATTGGATTTATGGCTGTTAAATCAGCTAAAACAACCTTGTCTTAGCAGTTGTAGTGGAACATTTCTCAAGATTTTTAAACAGTTGTAACTGAAATACTGGTGCCAACACAGCCATCTAAACACTGACAGTAAAGGTAACCACAGACTTCCTCTCCTATTGCTTAGTTTCTAGCACAAAGCTCACATTTTCAGCAAGGTTGTGTTACCCAGGCAGACAACTCTTTTTCTCTACAAATGCTTTTTCATTTGTTGTCAACTGAGTAAACAAATGTGTCATGTTTGTATAGAATAAGGGTGCATTCTGTTCTGTTGGTTACCAAGACAAACACAGGACAGAAGAATCCCTCAAAGAGTCCCCTGTTTGGATGAAAGCCCAGGAACACAAGAACTCATCTTCAAAAGCACTATCAGACTTTGGACTCTATGGTACTTAAAAGCTAAGTCATAATTCCCACCAACAGATATCATCCAAAGACTAAGAATGACTGAATGGCTAAGGGAAAAAACATCAATGCTTCCATCCCTGCATACTGACTGGAATACATAAGGAGACATAAAGGTATCACAGTCCCTGGAGGTGTTCAACCAATATTTAGGCATTGTACTGAGGGGCTTGATTAAGTGGGAAATATTAGTGATAGGTAGATGATTGACTGGATGATTTTAGAGGTCTTTTCCAACCTTGGTGATTCTGTGATTCTATCGTTATTTAAGTGCTCTGCACTTAAGGGCATATTAAATACTCAGGGCGTATTAAATAAGGCAGCATTTTTATTTTTTAAGCTCTAATCTCAGCCTTTCTATTCAGTCTGAAGAGATTCAGATTGCTTCTTTTTAGAGTGAACTCAAGAGACTACACCAAGGGTGTAGTCCAGGCTGTAGGCTTTGTACAAGCGTTTCTTGCAAGGCTATATTTCCCTTTCTCGAGGGAAGTGTAATAAAATGGCCAATTGCTAACAAAGTATTACTTGGCACATACTCTTCCTTACATCTAGGTTGCCTCTAGTTAAAGGATGTGTTACCCTGGTCATTGCCCCCCTCTTCCTCTCCTCTTACAGTAGTCATCAAAAGGGTCTCAGCAGAACAAGGAGAGAAAGAAAACTCAGAGATCTTTGCTCCCACATTTTTGTGCTTGGCTTTGACACAGGTAAATCAGAACTGTGCAGTCTGTTGGATGTTCTATGACACTTGTGGAAGCTTGGAGTTCTTTGTGATACATCTCTGCTTTGCTGTAGCCAATAGAGAAATTGCAGTGCTCTCAACAATCTGGGAACAGAGTTGTTTTAACTTAAGGTGACCATACACCTTGAACTCTATATTTCAGTGGCTGATAAGGGTGCATAACTAACTTAGTATGTGAAAACCAAAGTCAGACTGTTCAGTGCTCTTCTTGACCCCAATTTTAATTTATTCTAGTTCTACTGTGCAAAATTATTCTTCAACTCTCTCAGGTAAAATTAGCACAAGTTTTTTGAAGTTGAATCCAGGTTTCCAGGTTCTCATTCACCATTGAAAAAATAGGAAAAATCCAGATAGCCAAAAAAAAAAAACCCGAAAAAAAAACCATAAACAGTGATTACAAAAAAGAAAAAACACCTGAGAGTACTGAAACTCCAGTTAAATTTCTGTTCAGTGTTTCATGCATCAGACTAATACAGTCCTACTTTGTATTCGCTTATGTTGTTACAAGTACTGCAACAGGTAACTTAGTGAGTTTTGTCCATTGCTTTCCATATTTGCTTTTGTTTACTTTTACCTGTAAGCTTTCCATTGCACTACAGAAAACATTTGAGAAGCACTTTGTTGTTCCGTCGCGTGTCCTGTCAAGTTCTGACCTTCCATAAAGAATATTAGAAAGATGCAAATGAGAAACATAGTCTTAATCAGCGGTTTAGTACATCAAAGAAATGTTTGCTATGCTGAAGATAACACAAACTATGTTAGGTTGTGAGTTAGGTATGAAGCCAAAGCATCAGTTCATGCCTTCACATAACGACATGGGTTAGACCTCACTGTGCTCACATCCACTGCCTGATTCCATAAACATTCAGCAAGCATGGATGGCTGTCAGTGGGTGCCATTTGTTTCCACATGGAGGAATTCAGTGATGCACCTTTGCTCTAGATACGTTTCCATGTCAGACATCATTTGTCTGGCTTCCCCTTTGCAGCCATCTGTCACACAAAAAACAACATGTAATGGAATCCTGGTGCAGAGGTTCAACCTCTACTGCTCTTCCACACTATCTGCCTCTGATGTCATGGGCCAGTGTAATAAAATAGGAGGTATTACTTTCAAAGCAACCCTCGCAGCTACAAAATGAAAGCATTATTCAGGAATGTAAGCATTAATTGATGCATAAATATTAATTTAAGACATCAGAAGAATTTCTTGGTTCGAGAAGCCTAAGTGTACTTGCCAGAAAAATATTATTTGCTTCTGAGTTAAGTTGCTGGGCCCTGTGTGTTATCTAACGCTGGAACTGACCCACTGCTTTTTACACTGCTGTTGAATTAGAAATATATTAACTCTATAAGGGAATAGGTGTTTTATAAAATATTTTCCAGGGAAAATATATCTTCCTTGTTGCTAAAAAATATCGTCAGTAATGTTGCCTAAAGAAGCTTTACTCGCATTCTGGAAAAGTAGTATGATTCCATCTTCTGTTCTTCCTTTGCTTGGCACCAACAAAGTCATTTGTTTCAAGATGTACTCAACACAGGTCTTGGTTTTGCTGCAGTTAGATTATTGATTTATTTCCTTTTTTTCCGAGCTAGAAAAATTTGTCTGAGGAAATACCAAGGATGTGAAAACAACAAAGTAAAAAATGAAATCTTTATCTAGCAAAAGCATGTCGAGGGTGATTTAGCTAACAAATATTTTAGTTTAAATCTTTCTTCTGTCACATTTTAATCAGTCCCTTCTGCTTAAAAAAATATAAATACCGCTGTTTGTTATCACAGAGAAGAGAATATTGGCAATGTTAGGGCTCAGCTGTAAGACCCATCAAAGCAAGAAAAGTTTAGCTAAGATAAAGCAGCTTCTTACTTCAGAGATGTTGATTTCAGAGTGTTAGGTGTTGTGAGGGTTCATCAATCTATTTCATGTACAATCTGTAAGGTTTGAAGTATTGGTGAATAGAGCAACCTGGGCAAACCTTAGTAATAGCTTTGTCTTTTTAGGAGAAAGAGACTTTTCTCCCCTATCTTTCTCTGGCCTCCCCCTTATTTTATTTTTTTGTGACATCCTGCACTTACTCTAGCAAAGGTTGGACACTCGTCTTTCATTCTTTTGAGTGAAGTCAAGAAAGCATAGCCCACAGGTGATTGGGCAAGGCTGTAGAAAAGCAGGATCCAAGGTTTGGTTAACCCTACTCTACTGTTGTGTTTGCTAGAAGAATCTGGGTGATGATTTCTTGGTGCTGCTATGAGAAAGTAACAGATCTGTATCTGTCCAGAGCTCCACTTGAAACATAAACAAG